CCTCTGGGGTCTAATTGTCTTTCTGTGTGTGGTCAACCTGCACATCCATCCTTGGATCTACTGATCCGTCCTTCCTTCCTGTCCATCCAAATCTTCTATCACGTTTTTGTGTGTGTGTGTGTGTGTGTGTGTGTGTGTATGTGTGTGTGCTGGCTGTGGTCTGTGTCTGCCATGGAGGACAATGCCCTCTGTTTGTCTGTATTCAGACCGTGAAATCGCTTTATCCTTGCTAACGCTCTCTCTCTGCATCACCGGGCAATCGCACTTATGTGTGTGTGTTTGAGAAAGACAGTGATTCAGTGATTATGAGTTACTGTAGGCATCCATTGTGTGCGATTCAGGGTACTCTGGTGAGCAAATCTTGCTATGTCACACTGCATGGTTTTTCTTGCACATTCAACAGGTCGTTCATGAACTTAGTGTTGATTTCTTCTTTCTGAAACTGTTACGCAACTTTGTCAGCAACACCCGGAACATTTATTACAACACTGTGTCATCCAACACCGTTTATACTCTTCTCTTTGTTTGCCCTCACCACTTGTCTCGCTGCTTTATGGGTGTCTGTGGTTCTTTGTTATTAATGCTTTAAATTTTAATCTCCAAATTGAATTGCGTAGGCTTGTGAATTACTGCGTTGAGTCACTGTTTCCAGCTCCAGTATTGACCTAACTGCTTTTATCCTTCTGTGTGTGTGTGTGTGTGTGTGTGTGTGTGTGTGTGTGTGTGTGTGAGCTGTGGAAGAAGCCTCTGATGTTCTTGGCGGGGCATCCTGAGAATTTGCAGCACTTCCTTTCATCTCTCACTTCTGTCTTTTATGCACATATCTCACATTTAGGCATGTCTTTAAGTGACGGATTAAAATAAATGGCAATCAGTCCTTGATGATTTTAATCGGACGTGTAATCGGAACAAGTCAAGAGGAATCACTGCCAATTACCATTTTAAAATAAACAGCAGTGTTGCGCTGATTATTATCACGCTAGAGTCATGGCTCTAGGCTTGACAGATGCTGGACGCACACTTTGATCCAGACGGAAATGTTTGAACAACTAGGATTTCTTTCACTTTTGGCATGTGTGTATACTTGTAAAGTTAACTTATTTTCACATATTAGCAATTGTGTGTGTGTGTGGCGATATTTATTAAAGAAAATAAAACAAACAATAGCTACATCGGGACCAAACGGTCAACAGAAAAATACAACAGCCAGCTCACCCTCATTGTCTTTCCATGACAATGAGGGTGACTAATTACGACTGTGTGGGTTGTAAACAAATAATGATGATGATAATAATAATAGAAATAATAAGCAATAGCAAAATAAGCATTTTGGCTCCTACATGTACAGTGTGTATCAGTATTAAACTAGGGCTCTGTATTGGCAAGAATCTGGTGGTACTATTTTAAAAAATCAAGTAGTTTCATTTATCACAGACCCCATAACATCATTGCAATGTCAGCCACATATATTTGCATGTAAATTATAAATAAAAAAGTCAACACAATATCCCAAAACATAATATTATCCCCACATTGTGTGTATTGATTTATTTGTTTCTCACTTATATTCAATATTGGGGATGTGGGGGAGGGGAATGAAGGTTGACACACTTTAAACATTGTTGTAAATGCCCACTATTATTGAGGACTTGTATATTGGCCTAATTGCAGATCCAATGGGGGAGGGAGCTTAATACACACACACACACACACACACACATAATGAGGTTACAGAAAGAGGGTCTCTACAGCTGCCCCTATCGATGACACCATCACCAGGAATCCCTCCACCAGCTGACATCACCATAACCAGGAAGTGTGCGTGACATGTGTGAATCATGTGCTACAGTTGAGCTTATAATTACTATTTATCACACACATTTCTTTCGCCCTCCCTCATAACAGCAATTCAAACCTAAGCCCTGCTTTCCTCCGCTGCCTGTCAGACATTTTCCTCGTGTGGTATGACAACCTTTGAAAGTGGAGCTGCTGGTTGCCATGTTCCCGTCAGAGCTGCTGCAGATCAGCTGGGCTCTGACGCAGTTTTTAAATAGTCATTAGTGGTCTTATTTTATCTGCTCATGGACAGCTTTTCTTTTCTCACTCTTTTCTCGCGCAGCCAGCTTTACATTTGTGGGAGTTGCTGTATAGATTAGTGTTGAATGAGCTGCGGTCGTCCTCACATCGCTGGACTACACACGCAAACCACTGCTGTCCAATCCGCTCTCACTCCCTGCTTTTTACACAGCTGTGGAACTCAGTTTTTTTCTCAATACCTTACTTTTTCTGTCAGTTTCCTTGCATGTAACTTTAGAGCACATGCAGTACAACTTCTTTGATTTGTAATTCTGTCTGTCCCTTTTTCAGTTTCACAGTCATTGCGCCTCAGTGTATCGGTCTTTCTTTGCACACCCCACATATCTTGCGGTTTCAGTTTCAATTTGTTTACATGTGCTTATGGTCTGTTTTGCTCAAAGTTAATGGAGATAATCTCATGTCTGTTGAATATGAAGCTGCAGCCAGAAGACTAACAAGCCTGGATCTGTGTGAATGTCCAGAAACTTAAATAATAATAATACATTAAAAAACACATTTAAGTTTAACCAGGAATTTGGCGCTGGGCAGTTACTCCCTTATCAACGAGATAAAACGGATGTATTATTGGGATTTAGAAGGATTTTAGACATTTTTCATAGAGCTTGACAAGCTGTTTCCACTCTATTATGCGTAGCTAAGATAACTAGCTGCTGGCTGTGGCTCAATATTTAGCATGCATCACTGATAACAAATCTCTCCAAGGAAGCAAACAAATGTCAAACGACCCCTCTAATGGATTGAAATCCTGCCTCTCCCTCTGTCTGGTCTGGGGTTTCATGACCCGTGAGTGAGTGTCCCCTGACACCTCCACCTCCCAGCTGTCTGAGGCATGTGTTGATGCAGTGAATAAAACCAGGGGACAGGAAGTGACAACACTGGAGGAATGCTAGTATAACACTCGGCCGGGCCTCCAGGGAGAGAGCGATAAAGGAGGGATTTAAATACTTGGAAGAAAGAGGAGGGCAGGTAGGTTTCTATGAATCAGAGCAGAGGAGCTACCAAGAACTGAAGGAGGTAAATGAAAAAGGAGACAGCGGAGGAATGTGGGTATTAAAACTCCACCGGACCCCCATTGGGATAACGAGTGGTTTTGGGCAAAAATGGTTAGAGAGAACAAATTGTAGTAACCTTTTCTCTAGGAGTCCCCTACAGAGAATACAAGAGAAAAGTAGAGCTGTAGATAATTGGATTTGGGTACAATTCTCCAGAGGGAGAAGGAAAGAAAAACCATCACCATAAGAGTAAAGATATGAAAAGGGGAGGAATCGAACTGTATGTGGTTGTGATATTTATCTTAAAGCATGATAATATAAACAGATAGTGGTCGGGAAACAGGAAACCAGTCATAGACAAACTCCAGATTTCCTTCTATTTTCTGCCTTTTAATCCACATTCCTGCAGGCTTATGTAAGCAGTAGAGTGTGTCAGTATTGCTCACAAATGTGTGTGTGTGAGTAGCTGCTAGCGTGTCAATGCTAATACACGGTTTTAGACTAATTTAGCCTAGTGGTGTGTACTCGCGTCACTCTTGAGTATAGCTTTTATATCAGCTCAGCTTCATTTACTGCACTAAGGAAGGGGGTTAAGATTGCTGCTCACACACACACACACACACACACACACACACACACACACACACACACACACCGTGTTGGTTTTGAGCATCTGCGTCATCTGGTGCTTGTAATTGCTATGAGCTTTGTTACAGCGCTCTAATTTCTCCCCTCCTATTACACCTAACCAGCGTTTCTCTAACGGTTTACAGCTCACAATTACCACTTTAACAGTCTCTGCCGTCTTAATCACTTATTTTAATTTAGTTCCTATTTTTAAAGAAAACGTTCCTTCAATCGGCAGGCAGTGTGTATACAAATGGTTCCTAGTGTCTTAATATACTGCTCTTAAAGGTAGGGTAGGTAAGAATGGAGAAACCAGCTCGAGTGCGCTAGAATTTGAAAGTACGCAGCCGAAAAAAATCTGCCACTTCCTTCAGACTTCCTTACAGAGCCCCTCCTCCAACACACACGAACGCGCACATGACCAATGAGGGCACGAGATAAGTTTGTGCACAGATGGAAGGCTGACAGGCAGGTAGGCCATCCAGTTACTTTAGCCGGCCCGGCTCAGATGATTGGTCGTGCTTTTTACAGCGCCACGGCTTCCACAGATGACATTTTTTTATATATTTATTGTCAAAGCATTTAATATATTCATTGCTATCGGGATGTTAAGAGCATTCCATGGAATATAACAAAAAGTGTTCCTGAAGTGAATTACCTACCCCACCTTTAAGTGGCTCTAAATGATCCCCTTATTTAGACTAGAATGAAGTCTCTGCTATGTTGCACATGCTAGCAGATTTGGGATCTGGCGAGACCTTAGATTGGTGGGTAGCTCCACTCGTTTTTTGATAATTGTATTGCCTATTTTATCTTCTTGCAGTCATGTATATATCATGTACACATGCTGTATGTGTGCTAATGAGTTTTAACCTCTGACTTCAATTGAATCTCTTATTTTTCTTGTGTTGTGTGTCAAATTGTTAAAGCACTTTGAGCTGCATCGCGTGTATAAAAATGTCTTTCCAAATAAAGCTTTATTATTTTTTTTATTCTTTAAAAACATTTATTATTATCTTTTATATTATTTTTTTAATACTTTATTTTGAATTTTTCTTTTAGTAACAATAAAGCAAAGACAAACACAATATACAGTAAGTGCAGTAGGTACCCTTTAAATGGCGTACAAGAAAGAAAAAAGCTGGGTATTATATAAACAAAAGGGCCAAGGGTAACCAACTAACTTTTATATTATTACTTTATTTGATATATGTATTATTATGATCATTTCCACTAGTCTGTCCATTGTTCCAATATTTGATTTCCTTGACGGGCCCCTCTCAGTTACGGCTCCCCTGGCGTTGAGTTCACGGGACTCCACAGTGATACCACAGCTGTCACACAGATCCACTTCCTGCCCGGACAGGTGAGCTCTCATTACCTGCTTTGTGATCAGAGTAGTGGCCTAAAGTTGTATGAATTTAACATTTACCGTGCCATGTGACAGGGCCGCCTGCTGTCGCTGCTGGACGACAACACGATCCACCTGTGGGAGCTGGTGGGCGGCGCCCCCAGAGAAGTGGGCGGGGTTAAGAAAGAAGGAGTGATCATTCTCCAGGAAGTAGACAGCTACAGCCTCCCAGGAAGACCAGGCATCGAGAGCTGCAGGTAGATAACATGGCTTAAAAACGTTATTTTTACCACAGCATATTGTCCATTGCATCTTTACATGAATGACATCAATCTGTTCATAGTTCCTTTCAGCAATGAAACATGATGAGACAAAAAAAACAGATGAGAAAGACATACATATAATAAAACAACAGTGAACAATTAGGGAGTAGTTATTTCTTTACAGCAGAGTTATGAATCTGTCAAAACTAAATCAGGCCTATAGGGTATTACCTAGTGAGTCCACTTCCAGAGGTAATTTAACAATGTTTTTATTTTTTATTTTACTTCTGCACTTCTTGAAGAAATCTACTTGCAATGTTGATCAAATTTTCTTACTCTTTATGAAGTTTTCCGTTTCATTTGTTTTGTGTCTTCTGTTAAGCACCCTTGAATTTGAGTGTGAAATCTGCTAAACTAAACTAACCTTAACATTGTTAGAGGAACATTACACGTTCATTTATATATGCTGCATTGTTGGAGGAGCTCAGGTCAGAAGAATCTCATTGCCATTTCTACACTGTAGCTTAGTGCATATGACAATAAAACCTTTGAACCTTTGAATCAGATTGCACTTAAAGCAATGTGGGTCATTTCATCATTGAATATATTCTTTAATAATTGGGTGGCTTAAATCTATCCTGACTGAAGCCTCCCTCTTATCATCCGTCCTCCTCTTCTTCTCCTCAGTGCCACCCGGGTGACTGTCCTCCTCTTGCTGAGGTCATGTGACCTGCTGTGCATCGGCACAGAGGGAGGGGGCGTCTACTTCCTGGAGTTGCCCTGCCTGTCACTGAAGGACAACCTCACGCTGCCACAGGACCAGGTCACCCAGAGGTGAGACTTACCCGTAAATGACTTCAAAGAAAACTGACGGAAAATAAATAAATAAGAGGAATAAGATCAAATATGGAGCCTAGTAAAGATGGACCCTGGCAAGGCAAGGCAAGTTTATTTATTTAACACTTTTCAACGCAAGGCAATTCAAAGTGCTTTACAAAGACATTATTAGAAACCTTAAAAAGCAAAGATAATAAAACAGGAATAACACAGGTTCATGAATAATAGTTACAGTGCAGTGTAAGATGTGAATAGTTCAATTAAAAGTAGCGGAAAGTCTTCAGCCTGGATTTAAAAGCAGTAAGCGTTGCAGCGGACCTGCAGGTTTCTGGTATTGTTCCAGATATTTGATAACACCCCTAACCAAATTCTCACATTCCTCTACCCCTAGTCTTCCTGTGAAACTATAGTTCTAGCATATGTTAAAGTCTAATGCAGTTGTTTTTGGAGTGGCAAAGCAGGTGCATATGTTTGTAAAGTTGATCATTGCATTTGTTATAATATTCCAGCACTTCTTAACATTGCATCTACACATTTAACAAGTCTTTAATGTAGTTTCTCCCTTTCTCTGCCTATAAGTCTCTTCTTGACCACCTCTCTGTCCCTGTCACAGTATGTCTTCCTGTAAACATTTAGCACTCCAGTTTCCTCCGCTCACAGCTCCAGCTGAGCAGGTCGGACACACACACAGAAATAAATATCCCCCTTGACCCCAGCAGCAGCAGGCAGGTCGGGGTCATGTGGTTCATGGACCATGAGAACGGCGTTATGTCCTCAACACTGCTCAGAGAGGAGAGGAAAGGGAGCACATACTGAAAAACTCCAAAATGATATCTTCTGACATTCAAGTCAGAATCAGGGTTATAGCTAAGTGGTAGTTTACACGTATAAGGAATTTTGGTGTATGATGGTGCATATATAAACAAAGTAGAAAGGCATTGGGTTGTAAAAAAGGAGCACATTTAGAACTGTTATTATAGAAATATTTAAAAAAACGTTTTCAAAATTAAAAGAAAATAACTGACAAGAAATAGAAATACACAAAAACTTTCCAAAAATACAACAAGAATATTATTTGTTTAAGAACAGGTGAAAAGCATTGTGGCGTTGCAGACCCCGGCCTAAACTTGGTATTCCCCACAGACTTAAGAAAAAATATGTGTTTCTGTTATTTTGTCCAGCCCCTCCACATTCTGCAGTGTTGTGTGAACTAGTGTGCAGCCATGTATGAGAGTCAGCAGTGAAGCAGAGCAAACCACTTCCGATGCATCCTCATCACGTTAATATGCACAGAACTGCATTATCTAAAACAATCCGTATGCAACAAACATGCCCGCTGCAGTGCTTGTTTTATAAATGGTAAATAGACGCCATTTATATAGCAATTTTCTAGTCTTTACTACCCCTCAAAAACCCTTTTTTACATATCAGTAAAGTACATAAGCTGCCATACGAAGTGCAAAATGCTCAAGGTACTCAACGAAAACAAAGCTATTTCTTCGTTCTTCCTCTCTGCATTCCTGTGTCGATACAGTAGCTTCACAGAGCCGCTGTTTCTCTCTTTCTGCTGACTGACCGGCCAAACCCCTCATTAACCGGCTTGTTTAGGGTAGTGGGCGGAACTGAGGCCTAACGAGGGCCCTGATAAGGCTTGTGTGTTTATGTGTGTGTGTTTGCGTGTGTGTGTGTGTGCAAAGGAGGGTAGGTTTTTAGACGCGGATGCTTTGTAATGGCTGCCAAAACACGGTGTTCCGGTTGGGGAAGTGTTTCAGCTGAATCTCTAACGCACACACACACACACACACACACACACACACACACACACACACACACACACACACACACACACACAACACACACACACACACACACACACACACACACACACACACACACACACACACACACACACACACACACACACACACACACACACACACACACACACACACACACACACACACACACACACACACACACACACACACACACACACACACACACACACACACACACACACACACACACACGCCAGTAGCAGGATGCTGGATTCCCTAAAAATACTCGTGGACGGAGAGACGGAGACAATGGAATGCTTTGTTGGGAATGTTTCTGCCTCTGTGCTTCCGGAGAGGATCTTCCTCAGCGAGCGCTACCACAAAGCAGTCAGAAGTGTGTGTGGGGTGTGTGTGTGTTTCATGCAAGCTGACCATCTCTTCTGCGATGGTTCTGCTGCAGAGAGCCCAGAGAGAAAGCTGCATTGCCGTCTTTTCTTTCGCACTTTGTCTGTTTGTTTACTCTTTGACTTTCCCTCTCTGATGCTTCCTCTCCTCTCTTCTCCCTCTCCTCTCTTCTCCCTCTCCTCTCTTCTCCCCATCCTTCACCGGGGGAATCCTCCTGACATCTCGAGGGTGTGTCCTGCTCTACATTCCTCCGCTGCCTCAGAGGAATGTCTAGTTCACAAACTTCCAGCAGCTTGATGTTGATTTCACTGTTGTGTTGTTGTTGTTGTTGTTGCCGAGACAGCTGCCTGTGGTGGAGTTTATACAGATGGTTTGAGCTTGATGTTGATTAGATTTAACATACATCTGAACACTTCAGGAGTTCTGCTTTGGGTTGTTTTTGTGCAAATGAAAAACAGTGCTTTGAAATATATGATGCTGCCCATTCCCTGTGTTCTACTTACCAACCGGATGATCAATATGCACAGATCTGATCTCCACTCCTCTCATGATGTATTCATTTTACAGTCCCAAACATGCATTAAAGGGAATAGGCAAATTACAGTCATTGAAACTTACTTTAATAGTGTATGTAAACAAATAATCTAGGCTTAAAGGTCCTCTTTGTCAAATGTGTTCACATGATGAAAGGTTGATGTTGAGTGAATTCAGTGATGGTTTTTGATAGGTAGGTAGATAGATAGTTAGATAGGTAGGTAGATAGGGGTAGATCGAATAGATATAGACATAGGTAGGTTAGATAGCCGTACGGATAGATAGTTAGATAGGTAGAATGATAAGGTAGATAGGTAGGTAGATAGGTAGATAGATAGTTAGATAGGTATGGTTCGATAGGGTAGATAGGTAGATAGATAGTTTTAGATAGGTAGGTAAGATAGGTAGGTAGGTAGATATAGATACGGTTAGATAGGTAGGTAGATAGATAGCGTAGATAGATAGTGTAGATCGCTTAGGGTAAGATATGATAGTAGTTTTAGATAGGTAGGTAAGATAGGTAGGTAGGTAGATAAGATAGGTAGGTAGATAGGTAGGTAGATAGGTAGGTAGATAGATAGGTAGATAGATAGTTAGATAGGTAGGTAGATAGATAGGTAGGTAGATAGGTAGATAGGTAGGTAGATAGGTAGGTAGATAGATAGGTAGATAGATAGTTAGATAGGTAGGTAGATAGATAGGTAGGTAGATAGGTAGGTAGATAGATAGGTAGGTAGATAGGTAGGTAGATAGATAGATAGATAGATAGATAGGTACTTTATTGATCACAATTTGGGACATTTTGGAAATAAAAATGCCCTAAGATTTGTGTTGGAGCGAACTTTTTCAGATTTTAGCTTTTGCAGACCGTTTACATGCACAAAAACTTATATAACACACTACAGGAAAGGGAGAAAAAGGATAATAGGACCTCTTTAAGACATATTTAAATAAGGAAGTATAATGGTGCATTAAAACAAACCTGTAGACATGTTTAATCAACAACATATGCGATGATGGTTTTGTTTTCCCAGCCTGCCAGATGATTACAGATGTGGAAAGTCCTTGGGGCCGGTGGAGTCTCTTCAGGAACATCCCCAACAGCCAGGGAAGATTTTGATTGGCTACAGCCGCGGCCTGGTGGTCCTCTGGGATCTGAGCACCCGGCACACCGAGCAGCTCTTCCTGGGCAAACAGGTACCTGCCTTACAGAACGGAGCCTCGTGCACACTGTGTTACTTTTTACAGACTCTGTTCCTTAACTTATCTTCAGGATGTTCCAATGAAGAACTTTATGAATGTTTTTTATGTCGTGTTAAAGTTTATTGAAACAGGCCAGGAATTAGTTGCAAAGCATTAACAGTAATGAAACAAGTCTTTTAAATAGGTGTTCCAGATGGAGCTGCAACAATAAGTGAACTAATCAATAGTTAATCGACAGGGAAGGAAAGTAATAAATAACAGAAAATGCTGTTTTCAGTCTCTCAATTATGAAGTGTTTCTGCTTTTCCTAGTTTTATATCATATTTAAGTGAATAGGATGAGTTGGACTTTCAAAAACAAACATTAAAAGACACCACATACATGTAGGGCTTTCAGTGACTGGGATCGACATTTAAAACAATTTTCTTACATTTTAGAGTCCAAACAATTAATCAATTAATCTAGAAATAATCATTGGATTCATTGATAAAGAAAACAATCGCTAGTCCCAGCCGTACTTGTCAGTTAGCTAGTTCTATGCTTTTATGGCAAGGAATATTTGAGCTGCTCTCTGAGGCACTTGACTCTTTGACGTTACTATCTATAACGTGTATTTGACTGCTAAGCAACCTTTTTAAAGCATTTCTCTCTGTGTGTGTGACCCTGCAGCAGCTGGAGAGTCTGGTGTGGGAACGCTCTGGAAACCTATTTGTCAGTTCCCATAACGATGGCGGCTACTCCGTGTGGCCTGTTACTAACGGCAACACCTGCCATCAGCAGCCAGTGTCCTCCACCGTCCCATATGGTGAGAAATGCATACAACAGACACACACACACACACACACACACACACACACATACACATACACATACACATACACATACACATACACACACACATATTCTTACTATAGCTAGTGTCTCTTGTTTGAACACTTTGTCGTCCAGGTCCAGTGGAGGTCATGTTCTCGTCCACAAAGCCTCCAATAACTGACGATGAGTGCTGACACATCGTGACTCGTAGTGACTCGTTACTATTTTCAGAATTAGAGTCAGGGTTAGGTCAGGTTCATTGTGGAAGTGACACTTTTCAAATCTTATAATATCTCTCTTTCGCCCTCTCTCTGACTTAAAGGCTTTCTGGATGGAAATCAAATTCGTATTGCCTTTTACTTTGGTAAATGACAGGACGTTTCTTTCTTCCTTGCTATATATTTATAACATCAGTTACATTGGCAACAAACTAAAATACTAAATAAAAAAATAAAAATCAACAGGCGACGCACTAATAAAGGCATAACGAGGAAGAATATCCATACAACATAAGATAACATTAATAACTATCAGGTGACACTTTCTTTTTCGTGTGTTTTTATTAATCCGACAAATGTCGCTGTGATGTTTTGGTTGTTACTTTATTGTGCATGATTTCTGTCACAGGTCCATTTCCCTGTAAGGCCATCAACAAGATCCTGTGGAGAACGACACAGACGGGGTGAGTGTGTGACCGCTGAAATCAGACTGAAATTATAAATCAGTGTGTCAGTAAAACTTGATTCCTGTTTTTAGTTTCGTCATGTTTGTAAATCCTTTTTTTATTTATCTGATTTGTATAATTTCTTCTGTTATTTTTTATTGTTTTTCTTATCATTTTATATGACTATATAATCATATATTCAAGTGGATTTTATGTCTCCTCAATCCAGTTTGTGTCTGCTGCACAAAGAAGAATATTTGTTGTAGTTCACCTTAGGCAAGAAACAAAGATTCCTAGATTGCCTCATAATTAACTTCCTATATTTGTTCCTATATCAAAACCAAAAATAAAAAGCCTTGTAAGGCAAATGTAGTTTGGTCATTTTCAAAATGTCAAGTGTACAATACTTTTTTTTGGGATAATAACGCCTTATTATATCGTAACACTTTCTCAATGTTGTTCTAATTTCCCTGAATTAAATAACATGTCTGTCTCGCTGCAGCTCTCCAGTGTTGTTGTACAGCGGAGGGATGCCCAGAGCGAGCTATGGAGACCGCCACTGTCTCACCATCCAACGAGACAAAGAGCACGTCACTCTGGACTTCACATCGCGGGTCATCGACTTCTTCACTGTCCATAACGTAGAGCAAGAGAAAGGTCAGCGGCGGACCATCACTAATGCTCTGACTAATGATTTCCTTCCCCTTTTTCATTCATGATTTCCTTTTTTCCGTCTTTCAGCTGAGTTAAGTCTCACCGCCATGTATCAAACGTCCAAAACAGGGGTGTCCAAGCTTTTTTCACTGATGGCCACATGCAGAAAAATATACGAAGGGCTGGGCCACTCACTAGAGGTATATCGCCTCATAAGTTCAGTTATAAGTTAGCACAATCAATCAAATGTAGGTAACTTATGCTTGTGAGTGTTGGCAGCTCATCCCTTACAACAGAAGCCACAGGTTGATTTATAATAAGGAGAAATAAAAAGGGTTTATTTCAAGCTTGTTATGTAAACAGGTCATTGGGCTTTTTTCTTATTCTTATATGTTAGAGATTTTTTCCAACTTTAATTGAAATCAGCCCTGGACTCTGACCAAGCCCAGCCCACACAAATCACAAATTGGTAGAGCACGCTCGTGAACTGTCAACGGGGGAGGGAGCCTTGCTGCTGGGAAACTGTGGACCTCTGTCGCCTGTCAGCGCAACTTAAATGATGCCGTTTAAAAGAAATAAAGGGCGCTGCCGGCCGTCAGCGAACCGAGCCGGCCTTCAACGGCCCGTTCTGTGATTCTCCAGAACACACAGATGGCCAGTCCGCCCCTGGCCATATTCCATTATACTTTTTTAATTTGCTGAGGGTCGATTCAAAATGGTCCGCGGGCCGCAGTTTAGACACCCCTGGTCTAAAATAATCAAAATGTTACAGGAGCATCAGCCCTTCATGTTGTGTCTTATCTCTCTCCTCACAGAGTTTGATGATCCGTCAGCAGTGGTGGTGTTGCTGGAGGAGGAGCTGGTTGTGATTGACCTCCTGACCCCCGGCTGGCCCTCCCTGCCGACCCCCTACCTGGCTCCTCTCCACTCCTCCGCCATCACCTGCTCCTTCCACGTCTCCAGCGTCTCGCCCAAACTCTGGGAGAGGCTGGTCAACGCCGGCAGAGCTCAGCAGGGCCGGCAACAAGCGCATGGGGTGAGAAGCACATGAGATGTACTTTAACTCATATTTTGTAGTGCTCTTTATCCCTGTTTGTACTCTTATCTGTCCTATACTAAGATAAGATAAGTACTTTATTGATCCCAATTTGGGAAATGTTTGCGTTGCAGCAGCATAAAAGACAAGGCAAGAGAAATTAAGACAAAAATAAACAATCCAAAATATGTCTGAAATGAAAAGTTAGTTATGTGGAAATACAAATTTACAGTAAAAAAAAGATAATGCAGGATATTATATATATATACATTAATTGTGCAATAAATTGATTATTCAATATTAAATAAATGTAATATAAATGTAAAATGTACTGCGCTTCCATTGTTTCGTATTGCTGTTGCTGCTCTGACCCCTGAATTTCCTTTGGGTTTAATAAAGCTTTAACATTAAAGTTAAGAATAGTAAATACAGCTGATTTTCTTAGATACATGGTCAGGAATCTCCCCTATTGCAGAAAGAAAAAGTAATTTACTATTATTTGCAAGGATGTTTCATTTAAACAATTCTCTTTGTTTTATTCTGGTCTTTTCTTTTAAAAGGAAAGCATTGCACAGATTGCTTTCAGGAATTAATTCATTCTCAGAGAAACTGCCAGCAACATTTTGTATAACCTGTGGACTGGCAGCCAGACACTATGACTGATTATTCTGTAAATTGGCTTGTTCGTGACCGTAGGGATTATTTAATTACTGAAAGTCCAAGATGTAAGCCACGGAACACGTTAACAGTTTGGCCAATAGCCAAGCTGCTCTTGCTTTAAAAGAAGCCATCGACACTAATTGGTGTTTATACGACGTACACACAAAGCAGCATGGTCACAGATTCAGTTTAAGGGTTGGATTTCTACCAGATGAGTGTCAGGTGTCTTGTCAAGGCTCTACGGCTGCCATGAATGGAGAGAAATATAAACAGGTCATCATTTTAGAGGTTTAATGTTAGGATATTAAAGGTAAATGGATGGTATTTGCTAGTATAGGCTGGCAGCTAAACGGCTCTGGGCGTGACCTCCGGCCTGCTGCTAGTGTGTTAACTTTAAGAGCAGGTGTAAGCAGTTAAAGGCTTTGCAGAGGCTTTGTAGCTTAGATCAGCTGTTTTATCAGTGGCAGATTAAACTCACACACACACACACACACACACACACACACACACACACAGCTGGTACGCTCTTAAATCATTCCTGGCTCTCTGTCTGTGCGAGGCCAAACCAGAGAGACTGGCACAGTAACAGAGCAAACTCAAAACCCACAGGAGCTGAGTTTGGTGTGTTTCTGTCTGCACACTTTCATCCAGATGGGAATTCCTCTCCGTCAGGAAATGGAAATGTTGTTTTTCAATGTTTATTTTTTTTCTTGTACATCTTTTTAGTATAACAAGAGTTCTAACTTGACTTTAATCTTCGTCTGTTCATACAGAGTTGGCCCATTTGTGGAGGGAAGAACCTGGCTCCTCCACCCAAACAGCAAGAGCTGCTATTGACAGGGTACACACACACACACACACACACACACACACACACACACACACACACACACACTGTATAAACAGTCCAGGTGGATCCAGTTTTCATTTTTCTCTCATGACACAAATCTGTTGCTTTCTATAAGTGTTAGTGACTGAATGCAGCGTGGTTGGATTTCTGATGTGAACCACATGGAGATCCTCTATTAAATATGGTGGACATATGACTTGTCCTGACAGTGAAATGTGTTAGCATTGCATTAGCAACAAGGGAATCCTGAGGCAGATGACCTAATGTTGGTAACTGCAGATTTTTAGCAGTGCTAGCATTAGCATGGGGCACAATGAGACGCAACTACAGCATGAAAATGAAGTAAAACAGCTGGAGCGAGACCAGGGAAATATCTTAACTATTTACTATTGAATGGATTAACAAGATATTATGTTCCTCGGAGGATGAATTATTTTATCTTTTGGACTTCAAGCGCCAATATCAGCTAAAAAGGAGTTAGCTGATTAGCGTGTTAGCATTAGGTCATTATCGCTAAACAGGAAGCAAATATAAGCATGCTAACAGGCTTAACTAAGCAAGTGAACATGGTCAACATACTTGCTTAACATTACAATTTTAGCATTGTCACATGTTAGCATGCTGATGTTAGCCTTTAGCTCAAAGCTCCACAGTGCCAGAGTGCAGCTTCACAGAGATGCTAGCATAGCTTTGGTCCCTGTGTCACAAATCCATTTGTATTTCATTACATGTGGCTATGCTTACCAAATAAACTGCTAACTGTGTTTTTAGGAGCCGTCCAAATAAATCAGAATTGAGGAGCTATTTGGATCTGAGCCTGCTAGCCTACACACACACACACACACACTTGGACCTGCAAAATCCTGATTGATTTGCACTGAAATACATTTTCATCTTGATTGCATTTGTTGTAGTTATACATTTTGTGTTTTATAGGCACGAGGACGGCACTGTGCGTTTCTGGGATGCGTCAGGTGTTGCTCTGACTCCGCTTTATAAACTCAGCACTGCCAACGTCTTCCACACCGACTGCGACCCATGTGACGAACCTCATGACCCCAGCGACGACCCCGACATGCAGCAGGAGGAGGAATGGCCTCCTTTTAGGAAGGTGAGAACTGAGGAGGAGGAGGAGATGTGAAACAGAGGAAGAAAAAAATCTGTGGGAATCAAAACAATCTGTTCATTACACAGTCAGTCCTCTAACACTACATCTGTGTCCTAATTCTCTCATCTGAGTGTTTTCATGTGTTTGGTTCTCAGACAGGGCCCACCCCATTGTTCCTCTTATTAAAACCCTGAAGGAACCGCAGTCTGATTCTGTTTTAATCGCCTGTTTTTCTGCGCAGAATTTCATTTAAATGAACTGATTCAACATCATGAGGAGTCCCATATGGAGAAAATCTGATCCGACAGCTTAGATGTGAAACGGAGATGAGTCATGAAGAAAAACAAGTGCTGATATTTAAATCTTACAGTTGGAAAACTTTTCTCAGGGTTTGGGCAGATTCCTAAGATACGCTCACATCTGTAGATGGCAGGGAACACAGTGAAGGGAATAAACTCAATTGGGGCTTTTGTGGTGATAATATCCATTTTGTGCTCTTTCACTAAGACGAGCTGTCATGGGAGGATTCTCATTGTTCAAGGTTCAAGGTTCTTTATTGTCAAACTAACATAGCTACAGAGTAATTATGTCGTTGAAAATCTTATGTCACAGGCTTCTCCAACAATGCAACATAATAATAATGCAGATGTTTATTATAAATGCAGTTTTTATGCTTTTTGGGGGTTTCCCTTTCCTGTTTTTATTTCAGTTTTTGTGCCTCAATTGGAATCAGGTTCAGGTTCTTTATTTGTACCCGTAGGTAGATTTAGTTTGCAGATAAAAAGACAAGGGATCCATCCTGACACACTCTAAAAACAAACACAAACAACAGACACATCTCAATAAAAGTACACCCTGCTCCGTCAAATCCTAAAAACATTTTAAAAGAAAAACACTAGTACAAACATGGACATTCAAAATTCATAATTAAATAAATAAATAGGCATCTGTGTGACACTCCTATGATTTGTTAATTTGTGCAATAGCTGCTGGGATAAAACTGTTTTTATACCGCTTCGTTCTACTCTTTGGGACAACTAACGTCCGGCCCGAAGGAAGAAGCTTAAATTCTGAGTGCAGAGGGTGGGAGTCATCGGACTGCTTTGTTTACTGTCATAACATAGTGACATCACTGTGTACTCTTCGAGCTTCTATTGGCTAGTGCTCGAACACATTGTACGCTAATGGGTGGGACAATTCTAAGCGGTTGACCAATAGCCGAAACATAAAGAGCTTTTTGAACATTAAAGCATGTAAACATGTCACATTGAAGGCACAATATGAACCTGGAAACTAGCATGATATGTCCTCTTTAAGAAATTCATTGCATACAAAGGAGTAGAAACAGATTTATAGGGGTACGTTCAACATTGACAAATAGATTTGAGTTACTATTTGGCCTCTTTTCTCTTCTTCTCTTCCCATTCACTGTTTGGCTCCCCCACCTTTCCTCATGTATCCTGTGGTAACAGAGTTGCATGTTCAGGAATGTGGCTCTCATATGGGATGAAGAGCCTTTCCCTTTTTTCCTCTTCGGTGTAATGAAAACCAGACGCATCAGCCCACTCGTTCTCTGCATGTGTGTGTGTGTGTGTGAGTGTGACCAACCTCTCCTACTCCTTGTTTTGTGCGAGGGAATGCTATTGGAATTCCTCCCGTGTGTGAGAGACAGATTAATGCCCATGTTTTGCAGAGTATGTATGAGAAGCAGCGGGGGGGGATTGGCATTTTGCAGAGCTTAGGAGTAAAGAGGCTCCTGAGGAGGAAGGAGGAGAGCTTTAGGAGGCATTTTAAACTGAGTTAGTTTGTTGGTTGGTTCAAATCAAATCATCAGGATGGCACACATGGTTTTTGGGAAGCTTTATTGAAAAGTGGAGCTGCATGATGTAGAAAAAATTGATGATTGCGATTGTTTGACTGATATTGCATTTGTGATGTGATGCACGATGTTGTAGGTATTGATCATTTTGCATCATTTTTCTCTATCATTGAAAAATGTATTGATTTGGTCAAGGAGTGATTTTTAAAGAGGATTTGTACCAAAAAAAACGTTTTATTCAAGATGCAAGGCTTTTATTGTCATTCGTACATAGCTACAGTGTAGTTATGTAGATGAACATCTTAGGTCACAGGCTCCTCCAACAGTGCAACACAATAAAACAGATCAAATAGTGCAAGTAAATACAAATAAAATAGTGAAATGCAAGTAATAGAGTCTATTTATTAAGTCTGTAGTAAGCGATTTGTAGGTTGTAACTCCGCAATACTTCATCCAAAATGGTATTTACACAGCTTTGTAATATATAAGATGATGCTTCCTTTCATTATTGCACTAGTCCATGTTTTGATTTATTTTGCTGGGGTTGTGTGCCCTTTGCATTTATCTATCTAATCCAAGCCTGTGTATGTATGTGTGTGTGTGTGTGTCTGTGTCTGTGTGTGTGTGTGTCTGTGTCTGTGTGTGTGTGTGTCTGTGTCTGTGTGTGTGTGTAGGTGGGCTGTTTTGACCCGTACAGCGATGACCCCAGACTCGGCATCCAGAAGATCAGTCTGTGCAAATACAGCAACAAGCTGCTGGTGGCTGGAACTGCTGGACAGGTATACCGTTCACACGTTGCACACACACATCATGTCATTTCTATATTTACTGTTTGTTTTATTTTTAATTCATTTGAAATGCCTTGTTAACTTACTGCTGTGACAAACAAATCTTCACTTATATATGCACTGCCAGCTTTTTTAATTTAGAAAAAGAGCTCTAACGTTTTAAGAACCGTAATTTATAAGACCAAAACAGCGCCTTTTTAAAATTGAAAACATACCAAGGCCCTGCATTTCACATACCATATTTATATAGCTACATGTGATCTGTACTACACACACTTTGCCAGTTTTTAATAAAAACCAAACGCATCATCTAATCTTCTGCTCTCTCTGCTTTCAAACTGTTAATGTGTTAATGAAATGAGTAATGAGACCATTTGACTTTAAAGATCATACTTGATGAAGAACCTCTTTTTTTAAATAGCCTCATTTTGTATTTTCTCTGGATGAGATGCAGCTAGCTGATTAAGTTGGCAGCAGAGAGTTGCAGCTGCAGACACACACACGCACACACACACACACGCACACACACACACACGCACACACGCACACACACGCACACACACTTAATCTCTGCTCTGCTGTGATGGCTGTAGCTGTGAGGCTAAGTGAGCATATGTTATTTTTAACATCTACAAACTGAGCATGAATGTTTCTGCTGCTTACAATACATTTTCCAAACAGGTAAAGTTACATGTCTGCTAATGTATTATAACTTATCATTTGCTCATTATATTTAAATCAAAATCACCTCCTGATATTTCGATTTCTCTGTGTACAATGAATGATTCTGTGCTGCTGCCTGCCACTCGTCCACTGGCAGACTGAAAGGACATCGATTTCCTATAGATTTTAGTGTACCCTATATTGGCGCCGATCATCGATCTCCAATTACATTGTTTACTTCTTTGCCTTATGGACCATTGTATTTGGGCCCCTTGTAAATGAACAAATGCACAATTGTTTTATCTTACTGGCAAAGAACTAAGTTGTATTTACCGTAATCAAGAGAGGAGCCATTTCATAGAGGAAAAGTACCCAGATGGGTTGCTGTCATGTACAAAAATAGTTTCTCTATTTCCTCTAAACTTCTACACCATGATGTTTTTGCTCTCCTCTCCCCAGGTGATTGTTCTGGGTCTGAGTGACGAGCGCTCGGAGCACACGGTGGACGTGTCGGTGGTGGATCTGCTGCAGGACCGCGAGGGTTTCACCTGGAAGGGCCACGACCGGCTGGAGCCCCGTCTCAAACCCCCCCCCTTCCCCCCGGGCTTCCAGCCTCAGGTGCTGGTGCAGTGCATGCCCCCCGCCTCCGTCACCGCCGTGGCTCTGCACGCCGAGTGGAACCTCATCTCCTTCGGGACCAGCCACGGATTCGGCCTGTTCGACTACCACAGGAGAAACGCTGTGCTGGCCAGGTAAGAGAGACACACACACACACACACACACACACACACACACACACACACACACACACACACACACACACACACACACACACACACACACACACACACACACACACACACACACACACACACACACACACACACACACACACACACACACACCACACACACACACACACACACACACACACACACACACACACACACACACACACACACACACACACACACACAAACACACACACACACACACACACACACACACACACACACACACACACACACACACACACCACACACACACACACACACACCACACACACACACACACACACACACACACACACACACACACCACACACACACACACACACACACACACACACACACACACACACACACACACACACACACACACACACACACACACACACACACACACATATATTTATTTGGGGTCACATTTTTTAAAAGTACAGTTTTGCAAATCATATATTTCTAGAGACCCGAAACACACAGCTCTTTCCAAATGCACATATATATTTGGAACATGACACACACACATTTTGACAGTGTTCATGCAAGCAGAAAAACAACCTGCATATGTAGAAATATGTCTTGGTCCCGTCTGATGCCCACTTTGTTATTTTTGGCAGCACCTGGACGATTTTTTAAATCTTCCTGGATCCAACTTTTTTAAATATACACCGTCCTATTATTATATTTGTCATTTGTATTGTTTATGTTGTAACTTTATTATCTTTTTTAATCTACACGCAGACAGCTTCCTGGGATAGAAGTTTGTTCCATTGTTTTCCATGTAAATTGTGGGTTTTTTGGGGAGTTTTTCAATGTTTTGAGTGAGGGTGTCGTATGCTGTACACACTGCGCTTTCTGATATTTGGCTATATAAATAACATTTGATGAAATCGTTGAAAAGTACACTAAATCCACTAATGCTCTTTTTGTTCTCCTAGATGTACGCTGCACCCTAACGACTCCTTGGCGATGGAGGGCCCTCTTTCCAGAGTCAAGTCTTTGAAAAAATCGCTACGACAGAGCTTCAGACGCATCCGCAAGAGCAGGGTGTCGGGGAAGAAACGCCCCATCGCCACGCCCACCAGCAAGGTAAAAGACGGTCTCTGTTTGGTCGTAAGAGGTTCGTACGGGTCATACAGACTGAATTAAGTTCTGCATTGTGTTACTGTCTCATGTGCAGGTCCAGGAGGCCAACGCGGCGCTGGCAGAGCAGGAGGACGTGGCTCCGATCCAGCGGAGGATCGAGCCGCGCTCAGCAGACGACTCGTTATCAGGAGTGGTCCGATGTCTCTGCTTTGCGGACACATTTCTCCGTGACGGTGTGTTTACTTACCCATTGTGGTTATTAACTGAATGTGGGACCCTAACAATAACAATGCTTTAATTCTGTTTTATTTTATAAATAGTTTTTATCCTCATTCACTCATGTTTTAATTAAGAAAATCCAAAATGTTTTGCTGGTTGATGTAAAGTTTACAAGTATTAGGTCTGTCATAAGAACTACTTTCGTTAGATGATATATTGTCCCAGAAATAAGTCGATAAACAATATAATTGTCATTTTAAGGCCATTTTATGCCACCAATGACAATATAACGCCATAATATTGCAAGTACACCCTTTTTAAGGAGCAATAAACTTCTTCAGAATATTGACACTGGGATCTAATAAATATTAAAATAAGCTAAATGAATAAAACTAGAATGAATAAAGAGACGTAACCAAAATAATAAATAAAGTGGTCTCTCGCTCTGTTGGCAAAGATGATGTTAGAGAAAACCCTTCTGTGTACTAACTTCATTTTTGGCTTTTATGATGGTTTAATTCTTGTGTAAACTAATTTTAAAACAGCAGACAATATCAACAAAAATCTACGCTATGTCCTTACTGTATATCATATCAAAAGTGTATAACATAATTATCATGACACCACACTAACTGTATGACCTCATCTCTCAGGGACGCACCACGGCGCCACCCTGTGGGCGGGCACTAACTCGGGCAGCGTGTACGCCTACGCTCTGGAGGTGCCGGGCGTGGGCTCGGGGCGAGTGTGTGAGCGCGGCGGGGCGGGCGAGAGCAGTGTGTGTGTGGAGGCGGTGCTGGGGAAGGAGATCCAGCTGATGCACAGAGCGCCCGTGGTGTCCATCTCCGTGCTGGACGGCCGGGGGAAGCCGCTGCCCGACCCGTACGAAGCGTCTCAGGATCTCTCCATCGCGCCCGACATGACCAACGCCCACTCTGTGCTCATCGCCTCCGAGGAGCAGCTCAAGGTAACGGCTGGAAAATGCAACAGTTTTATAATATGTTACACATAAAATGTATCTCTGCCTGTTGTATTTAATGGACTAATAGAATGATGTAGGAATGAGTCCTAAATGAGTAGTTTTAGCACTTCCAGTTCCCTCGTTTAAAATCTCTCTCTCTCCCCCCCCTCCCCCCTCCCCCCTCCCCCTCTCTCTCCTCCAGGTGTTCTCCCTCCCTAAGGTGAGCGCTAAGACCAAGTTCAAGCTGACGGCTCATGAGGGCTGCCGGGTGAGGAAGGTGGCGCTGGTGGTGTTCGGCTCCACGGCTCAGGAGGACTACAGCGAGCACACTCTGGTGTGTCTGACCAACCTGGGAGACATGCACCTGTTCACCATCCCCGGCCTGCGACCTCAGGTAGAAACACACGCATTATTACAGTATTTAGGGGTTATTTGTATATATGAGACAACTATTCATTTGTTCATTTATTCGCTAAGCACCGGTAATTGATGCCTATTTTGTGGGTCTTTAGGTGCGCCACGACTGCATCCGTAAAGAAGACATCAGCGGCATTGCATCCTGTGTCTTCACCAAGAACGGACAGGGTGAGAAAAATATGCTTGATTTGAATTAAAAACATTAAAAATGTCCTTTTCAGGCTCTGAACGTCACAAGGAAATTGGTAATTGTTATTATCACAATGCAAACTGTGCAGAATATACACACAGCGAGAGATTTGAAGGGTCATTTCACACAGATTATACCAAAAACGAATGTTCCACTCGCCCAATTTGTTTCCAGTCATGCGTATCGTTATTGTTTAATTTGCCGAGAATCTCTTGAGACCCCTGCCTCCATCTCAAAAATAAACTGTAACAAATCAGCCTTGATCTGTAATTTAAAAAAAAAAAAATTATAATGGCTTTCTTCTACTCTATTTAAGTAAAGTACATTTTGAATGTCACCATTATTAGGCCAGTCATGCCAGTTTGCGACTGATGTTGGACACGATATTGTCCCAGAAATAATTGTGATAAACTGTTTAACTGTCATATTAAGACCATGTTAGGTTACTTATATCATGATAATCCATCATAATAGCACGGACATTTGTTTGTGCTTCTTAGGACGGAAAAACAACATCCAACTTTCTTTCCAGTAGTAATGTCCCCAGTCTAACTGCACACTGCACTGTGGGCTGGTTTGCAGTGAAGGAGTCTAAATGTTCTTTTCCTCGCAGGGTTTTACCTGGTCTCCCCCTCAGAGTACGAGAGGTTCTCCCTGTCGGCTAAAGTCGTCACAGAAGCACTCTGCTCTGTTCAGCTGGACCGACCGCTGGAGCACACACCTGCCAGGTAACACACACACAAGCACACGCACACGCACACACCTGTAGTCAAACTAAACCGTGGTCGTGTAATACAGATAAGAGTCCTCCATTACAATATTGGAAATGTGATCAATGTCCCTCTTTTTGTGGGATCTTGTACCTCTCCCCACTGCTTCACGGTGTCTTTGTTATGTAGGCACCTTCAAAACATGAAGAACAAATAGACTGAAGACAGACAGCTTGAAATGCTCCTCGTGCTGATGACATTTATTTATTTTCTGGTTTCATATTAGCCAGTTTTTCTTGTAGAACAGCTGAGGTGTGGGGGTGTGTGTGGGAGAAGGTGAGCGAGTTGTCTGTGTATCTGCAGTGTGTGTTATGTAATGTTGTTTTAGTTTCTATGTGTTATTGCATTTTGAATGTGTGTTTAGAGAGGCTACATCTCAAGGATCTTTTCTTTGATTTAAAACAAAGTAGAGTATACTATAATACATCTTTTTATTTTTTTTATTTTAGGAAATCATACATTTAACATTTAATAAATTGTTGTTAGATGAGCTAATCAGCCAGATATGCCTTTTTTTTTTGTCCAATCCAGCAAATTAAATATCTGACAAACCATGCATTGATGCAAGAAAAAAAAAAAATAGACTTGGGGAATTCCAGAGAGCCACTATGAAACACTCTTGGTGGTCCGAGACCCCACATTGTAAACCTCTAAACCCACTGTTCCTGTCAGTCACGCTCTCTGATTGGTTAGCAGCAGCTCCTTCAGGCTCTCTGCTCCATCTGAAACCAGAGAATGATACTTCCACTGTTACTGTATTATTACTCCGTCTAATGCTGTGTGATCGTGTGTCTCCTCAGCGACGGCAGCACGACGCAGGCCAACGGGACTCACAAGAACCAGATGGGTCAGGCTGAGGGTACGTACACACACACACACACACACACACACACACACACACACACACACACACACACACACACACTCTGTATTTTCTCCCTCTTCATCACTCCTTTCTCTCTTTTAAAACTGAAAGCGTCCCCCCCCACTGGTCTCCATGGCAATCATTCAGAATGCTCTCCTGCCCAGCGCCTCCCTCTCTGGCAGGAAATGATGGTTGTCGTGGAGACCAGACCAGAGTAGAGTAGAGTTGTGTGTTAGGGGGTTTTCTACCTGGCACTTTGATAACTAGTACTACTAAAAAAAAAAAAAAATATGTACTGACGATATGTTATACATGCTCTGCTATAGGTGTGTTTTGGCCACTAGGGGGCAGCACTAGTGGCACATATCATCAACTTATAATCTTTTTGATCTTGTTAGTTAACACATCCCTATTTATTGAATAAACCTTTAGCATCCATTTAGTTTGTTTCTGTCCATGTGATGAATGTAAATCCAATATTCACTCCCCCTCTCTGCACAGACGATTGGCTAACTTATGCTAATTATGTGGATTTTTTGTGTGCTTTTTTTGCTGAAAACTGCTACCCACTGTCACTCAAAATAACGCTTTGAGAGCATTGGGAGTGAAACCAAAACAAGTAGCGGAAGGAAGCTAAAAACGTGTGTAGAGCCGAGGCAAACGGAAAAAGCCTTGTTGGGTTGAGGAAAACTGCAGCATTGCGATATCAACTTTGTCGGTTCATCAATAAGAGTTCATCTGAGTTCATCTGAGTTCATTTGAGTTCATTTGAGTTCATTTGAGTTCATCTGAGTTCATTTGAGTTCATTTGAGTTCATTTGAGTTCATCTGAGTTCATTTGAGTTCATTTGAGTTCATTTGAGTTCATCTGAGTTCATTTGAGTTCATTTGAGTTCATCTGAGTTCATCTGAGTTCATTTGAGTTCATTTGAGTTCATTTGAGTTCATCTGAGTTCATTTGAGTTCATTTGAGTTCATTTGAGTTCATCTGAGTTCATTTTCAAGCCGCCATTTGTTTCATCGTTAATATAAAATAATGAGTAATAGCAGCTTTAAGATGTTAAAGATGAATTTTGACAGGCAGGCTTGGCATTTAAGAAAATGGGGACTTGTGCAACCCTTGAACTAAGATAAGAACAATTAAGAAAATCACTTTTATGGTAAACCAACATATTTGGGCTTACAACAACAGACGAAATAAACAAAGATACAGATTTGATCCATCTTTATTTGTTCTCCAAGCAGTGTTGAACTCCATTCATGCTCGTTGGGGTATCAACTTTATGACAGATCGTTCCTGAATCGACTGTCAAACCAAATTGTGATGAAGTTGTTTACAATGTGCTTGCCCAAATATTTTAAACTCAACCCGACATGACCGAGGAAACCTTTTGAAGCCAATAAGAGTCGTCCATCTGTAGCAGATTAAGACCCCATTTACACGGGAGCGCAAACGGACCGAATTCGTTATCAAAAAAGTATTCCGTTCACACGCATTCGGCTCATTTAACGTGTCCGTTCACACGAGACCACTGGAGACGCTGTAGTACATATGCTGGGCCTGTAAGTGGCGCTGTACTTCCGCACGAGACCGCTCGTAAGCGCCGGAGACGCTGTAGTACATATGCCGGGCCTGTAAGTGGCGCTGTACTTCTGCCACAAAATACACCAAAAGCAGCGAAGAAGACCCCCGAGCATGGTTGCCATGGTTGCCCTTCTGTTTATAACCCGCGGTGGATTTAGCAACATGTAGTTCATGTAATTCTCCATGTCCACTTGTTGCTGATGGTTGTGGTAGAGGAGCTGTAGATTTTGCACTATATACCCGTGAGCAGCAGGTGGGGAGAGGCGGGGCTATGGCTTCATCGTTATCGGGAAATGATCGTATAGGGCGTACACACTGAGCCGTTTGCCCCGTTACGACCTCGTGTGAACGAACGGGCTATACGCGCGAGAAAAGTAGCGGATACAACCCGTCTCGTTCTCATGTAAACACTCTCATTGTTCTCTCCCTCACAGGACAAACAGAAGAGCCTCCGATCGCCCTGTCCTCCCCCCTGATGGACCCCCCCCTGTCCTCCCCCCTGATGGACACCCCTCTGGACTCCCCCCTCAGCTGTGCCGACCTCACCCTCGACTCCACCGGAGAAATCACCGTGGAGGACGTCAGGGACTTCCTCACGTAGGCACTCACACACACACACACACACACACACACACACACACACACACACACACACACACACACACACACACACACACACACACACACACACACACACACACACACACACACCTCGCTCTGATTTAAAAAAGACGGTAATCTTGTAATATAGTAGTGTACAATAACAGACACACTTTGATGTACATTTTAGTGTCACAGTGCACTCGCTATATTCCCCACTCCATCCCTCCTCTACCCTCTACATGCCCATATAGCCCACTCACCTGTTCACCATGGCCTTTGACCCCTAACCCATCACAGTCCCCTTGCTTCCACTCCTACTGCTATTTAATTCATTTTTTACTTATTTGCCCCCTTTGTTTGTAAAATGTTTAGTAACAATTAAGATAATTTAAACAACAAAAAACGATTTACGACAAGCAAACCCAAAATGAAAAAAACGTACAATAAACCAAATGTAAAAGACATGAAAAGAAGAAAAAAGAAACACATCGAAGAAAAGCTGAAAAATGATTATAAAATACAGTGTAGAGAATGACAGTGTTATAATTGATATGGTATTTTTAACAGTCAGGACGCATAGACATAAAATGAACCATTCCATTATTGGTCATATGTGGATAATTTTGAGGGTGATCAAATAATGGGAACCGCAGATCTTGAAAAATATGTCCAGGATTATGGTTTTCCAATGTCTGTTATCTGATCTAGGAACTGTAATCTAACGTGTGTTTTGTGTCTGACAGCACTGTGGACGAGGCAGAGAACAACCTGAAGAACATCAAGGAGGAAGAGGGACGCTCCACCGGCATCCTCATCAACTGAACAGGTGAGGAACAGGAAGTCTCTGATGAAGGTACTCAAGTGTGAGCAGTAGGGGTGGGAATCACCAGGCTCCCCACGATACGATACTATCGCGATACTTAAGCCACGATACAATAGTATTGCGATTCTAAAATATGCTAAGTATTGCGATACGATATATTTCGCATATATATTGATATATGATTGCATGATACATTGGGTTCCAGTGTCTTTAAGACGTGACAAAAGCCTGCGCTGTATGGACGCAGGTCTTTGCACATGAAGATTGATTGAGTTATGTTCTTAGCTCGCTCAGAATGTGATGGTAGCTTTGCCAAGATAATCTGGATTTGCAATATTTTAGTTTATATACTAAAATATCGATACTTGGCGTCCGTGTATCGATACAATATCGCCACGCAAAAATATTGCGATACTATGCTGTATTGATTATTTCCCCCAAACCTAGTGAGCAGATGCATGAGCTCACACCCGCTTAGACACTACTCAGGGTGTATGAAAGGGGATCAACACACACGCACACGCACACGCACACGCACACGCACACGCACACGCACACGCACTCGGACACCTGTTTCTAATGGAGCGCGTCCAGAGTGTGGAAACTTCAAAGAGTTGTTCAGTCGGAGCGTTGCATTCCAATTACCAGCGCTCCACTCTGTTTCCCTCTCCTGAAAAGCAAAAATAAAAAACATTTAGTAACAGTGCATAACAACAAATACAAATAGTATCCTCTGCTATTCGGGTGGGAGGTATGTCTAAGTTTATCCAAAAAAATCCACTTTACAGATACAAAAAGGAGCAGTCGTTGCGTTTCCCTTGAAGCTCCATGAAGATCCCAGTTTTTGTAAAGCTGTTGGCAGCAAACCTTCTTATAAGTTTCCTTTTAAAAGTAGTATTTTTCATTCTATATAAAACACATTTGAGGGGGAAAAGTATGGGTGCTACAGGATTGGGCAAACTAAAGGAGATTGTAAAGACAGCAGCTGGAGCTTGTGTGGTGTTATGATGAAAAGTCAAGAATGTCTCCACCATTAAAGGGGACCTATCATGAAAAATGCACTTTTTGATGTCTTTTATACATAAATATGTGTCCCCGGTGTGTCAGGGAACTCACGCAGCGTCAGAAAATAAAACCCTCTCTCTTTTCCTCCGTACCCAAATCTCTAAAAACGGGGCTACAATGGAGCTGATCCAGATTTGCGTCCGATATGACGTCATATCGGAAATATAGGCTGGCTTTACACCCACGGCCCTATCAGAAACGTTGCCATCAGAAACAATGCCCGACTGTTTTGGACGTAATATGGTCGGTGCATGTTTATATTAGCATCGCTAACACTCAGAGCTAACCTGTACTGGAGAGCATGTGTGTGAAGAAGCAGGAAATAAAAAGGAACTCACCTTGTGGTATAACCGGCAAGAGAGAAAGCCTTTGAGCTCCATACTGTTTCAGAAAGAATCCTTGATAATCCATGATATGGCGTTTCATCACGGCAGTATTTAGTTTAGACAGTAGCTGCCGGGTCCCGCATGAGCTCAGCCCCCCTCATTTTTTTTTTTAAAGCTTTATACCCCAAATCAGCACTTTTGAAACAGGAAGTGAAATAGAGGGATATGAGGCATGGCTAGAATGGGTGATCTGTTTGGTATTTTGAGCAAAACACTTCATAGACATGTTTTTTATATATTTGTATATATCTGAGACCTATGCTATTGCCTAAAAATAGCATGATAGGTGACCTTTAATGTAGTGAAATCTTCACTGGAGCTTGTGGTGGTTAGCGACTCAGCACTTACTGCTCTCATGCATCCAGTCTGCTCTCACAGGACTCATGAATCAGAGGTAATGGTTCCTGTCTGTTTGTCAAACACTCTACTCCCTGTATGAAATCCTCTGCTGCCCTCTGCTGGTGCCTTCTGGAAATATAGATATAACAACATTATGTCAAATGTACATATTTTTATAATCTATACATTTTTCAGTGTATGTGTTGTTGTGTAATGATGTTTAAATAAATGTCAGAAGATATTGAAAATTATACACCACACAAGCTAGAGACTACGGTTACTTGTTTAATGATTTTGTCACATTTACAGTCCAATACTCAAAGATGTTTAATTCCCAGTCATAAATAAATAGAATTTCTCTTAATTAGGGGGGGGGGGGGGGGGGTTAAATAAAACGAATGTGAAGTGTTAGAAAAATATCACTCGTCACCGGCTTGGTCTTCAATGTCAGGATACATGTATTTATTATCCTTGCAAGAATGGAAGTAGTCATCACACACAGAGCTGCGTGGAATAATAGTACCCAGAACAGTGTCCTTCACATGCTGATATACAAGAGAGGGAGTTACAGTCAACAAGATGGAGGAATACCGGTTCAAAGCAGTATTCTGACATTAGTTCAGATTAGGTAAGGCCTGCGTAAGCAATAAACATGACAGTCATATGCCTATCTCTCGAGGGCCTGTGTTATCATGCCAATCTTAGGAACATAGCTATCATAACTTCAACAGTGTCTCATGAGCGTCATCCATGTAGTCAAACATCCGGCTACGTACACAGCTACGTAGGGCCTCTCTTATCACGTGCTACTCTGATATAGAAGGGACATTCAGTATTTTCCCAACATGAAGCATTTTGTTGATAACTCACTTTCACTGACCGCTACTTTACACTGTATCACAGACCTACTGGGGTTTCCCCTTTCTGTACATACAAGCAGCAAAATGTTGAACACAAACCAGATGGAGATGTCTATTATTGTCCAAATTTAAGGTCAAACGTTACAACATTTGAAAGATAAACCTACTTTTACCCACTGCCAGTTGACACACTGCACTACACTGTTAGCATGAAGCTATAAACTGCTGTAAGAGTGTTGCCATTTTCCTTTTCTTGTTGCTAATACTGTTTTCTGCTTGTTAGTATTACAGGGAGGGGCTCAGGTGGATCTGGATGGACCGGATTTCAGTGCTGGACCACAAACATTTCCCATCATCCCTCTGTGGAGCCCATCTGTGTCCTGTTAGCCTGGCACGAACTGGGAGGAAAGCCTTCAGACGGACAAAGAGCACAGCATCAGAAGACTTTCATCTTCTCTTATAACCACTCTGGAAACATGACATGGAGCTAGAGACAGCCTCACCTGGCAGGGAGAGACTGGATGGATTAGTGAAGGACTATCTGGATATCAAGCACTGAAAACTTTCCGTCGTCCATCTTGTCTCCATCCGTTATGGGACGAAATGACTGCAGCCTTCAGGAAACAGCTGTTACATCCTGCATTGGAGACTTAACGGTGACATTTCCATGTTTTCACGCATTTCCTACCCAGAGTTCCTTGGTGTGCTGGGATCAGTCTGATGTTTCCCCAACAGTCTGAACTGGAATTGGTGCTCAAATGATTCCTCGCGCTAACGCATGACCCGTGTTTATGAAATGAGGGAATCCAGCAAGAAGGGAGCTGTGTAGATTTAAAGAGAGTAAGACTAGCAAATGAAGTATTTTGAATATTTGAAGGCTGATTAATGTGTATTCTCCGCCTCTTATGTGCCATAAAATGAGCCGATATGTTATCAAACACAAGCACATCACCACAAAGTGTTGATAATGTAGAAAAGAAAGGACTAGGAGGATGAAGGCGTTTTGTAATACAAAGACGGATGCATATGTTTTGTATGGCTTTTGGAGAAAGATATTTTAATGACTAACAGAAAGGGAGTAGAAAAAGATTTCAAAGGGAAAGCGGTACTAGGTTTGAAGTATAAGAGCAGATTTAGGTGAAATAATATTTTTGAAATACCTTTATTGCTAAAACGCATGGCCTGGGTTGCAAACGCATTCTTAAACCTTCAGTATAATTCCATTAAATTCGTTTTTATCAGGCAAAAATGTGGACAGAAGAGCTCAGAGATCAATGTGATTGATGTTGTTGTTGTTGTTGTTTGGTAAAATCATGATTAAAGAACAGAACAGCAGTAATTGGAAGATAAAGAATGTGTTAAATGCAGATCCTCCATCATCTGAAATCTTTTTGACGGGACTCAGGGAAGTGGCGAGGGAAGCGAAGTCAGGCTGAATGCTAAGTGTAACGTACTGTGTACTACCATGCACCCAGGAGAGGTCTTTCAAGGGTTTCTGTGAATCGGTGCATTCTGGGTAATATTGGCTTAGATGCAGAGCTTTGATCACCAGTGTTTTTAACCCTTTTAAAAAACGTTTTACTGTGTAAAAAGAAAAATCCATACAGTATCTATACCCAGGTTTACAGAAGAGAGCCGATGATAGACAGTGTGTAGTCGTAGCCTAAAAACCGCTCAGTATTCCAGCTTTTTGATCACATCACGTCAGTAAAAAGTAAAAAAAGGGACCTCACTACTAACTCATGTAGCTCATCAGGTAGGAATCATGTTAACGCTCTTTTTAAACGTTTGTGTTAGCTTGTTTTTGTGCTCTGGTTGACACACACACACTTAACCTCTCGATGCTACAGCTGGCACGATTCACATTAAGATGAATTTCTTTCTACTTCGTCAATAAGTTGTGTGTAGGATTTTAATTGGGTCATTTAGCGTTTTGGCTGATGAATTGTGAATGTTAATAAAATTATTTACTCTACAGAAATTCATTGTGTATAATGTGTTGGTGGAAGAAGTACTCAGATCTTGTAGTAAAAGTAGAAGTACCAGAGTGTAGGAATACTCTGTTTACAAGTACAAGTCCTGTATTTAAAATGTTACTCAAGTAGAAAAGTATTATCATCAAAATATACTTAAAGTACCAAAAGTAAAAGTAGTCATTGTGCAGATTGGTCCTTTTCAGAATAATATATGATATGTTTTATAATGATTGATCATTAAAGTGTTCTCAAAGCTGGTAAAGGTGCAGCTAGTTTGAATGACTTTGTATACTGCAGGGTAGCTTGTGGATTTACTCCAGGTGGAACTAAAGTCTGATTTAAAGGTCACCCATTATGCAAAATCCACTTTTTCATGTCTTTTATACATAAACATGTAGAAAAGATTCTGAAAGTTTCAGGAAAAAAGATTTGCTCTCTTTTTGTTCTGATCCATTTATATAAAAACCTGTCTGAAAATGAGCTGATCAGATTTTGGCCACTTTATGATGTCATAACGATTTTTTGTCTTGTGTAACCATTAGCCAATCACCAACCAAGGTAACCCCCCCCCCACCTTATCACCTGAATCTCCTCCTAGAGCACATTGTGTTCTTTTTAACCAAATATCTCTCAGAGGGGCGTGGGGAGGGGCTCCTTATTTTCATCTAAAGTAACAGACAGAGAATCAGCACTTTGGAAACAGGGCTGAAACAGAGGGGATTATGGGATGCTGCAATGATCTGTTTGGTATTTGGAGACAAACACTTCAGAGACATGTTTTGTATATATCTGAGACCTATAATATATTGATGAAACACAGTATAATAGGGGACCTTTAAATCTTGATTATATTTCACATCATTAATCCAAATCTGTAAAGTAACTAAAGGTATTAAATAAATGTAGTGAAGTAAAAGTACACGATTTACCTCTGAACTGTAGTGGAGTAGAAGTACAAAGTAGCATAAATGTAAATACAAGTACTTAAACATTCTACTTAAGTCAGTATAGGAGGTGGAAAATATTATAAGGCAGTCACTGTAAAGTATGTCAAAAATATAATATAACATTTTTTTAAATGTCAGTATGTAGAAAAAGTATACGTGATACTTTGTATATACTATAGTACTTCAAAAACATCTGAAAATAGTCATAGTAGTATGACAGAAAAAAGTTAGTGTTTTGGCATTGGTCTGGCATACAAAAGGCATACTATAAAAGGTCCTTAAGGTCAAATAAAGTATATTTTGAGAAGAAACTGTATATTATTTTTTAAAAGTCATGGTAAAGTATGTCATTAAAGTGATAAACCACATAGACCTTTCCCAACAGATGTGAAATGACATAACCGTGCAAAAATAAGGCCAGATGACAAAAAAACTTGATGTGAAATTTTATTTTAATATAAAATACATAAATAAAGCATCTGCAAGTGGCATCAGAAGCATGTGCACATTCATATACACACATCCATATATGTAGAGGACTCAAACACGCTACCAGGCATACGATTCACCCCACAAAATAAAGTATAAAGAAACAAAACGATGGTAGTTGCAGCCATTTAGAGAATATGGTACGTAGATATATGTGGTTTGGACCAATGCCTGAACTCGACACAGGTCACATGATCACTGCAGCAGGTCTGTCGTTCCTTTAAATATTGACCCTGGAGACACTGATCTAGAAACTGATCATAACTCATCTGTAAGCCCTTCAACATAAACTACTGATTTGAGACCAGTGGAACCAGAAGTCACTATATGTACTAAGATATGTCTCTTATATGCTGCAGAACATCTCCCATTAAAGTCTGCAGATCTTAAAGTTTACAAAACAAGATATTTGAAAAAGAAAGCAACGTTTAAACATCGATGTCCGACTGAAATGTCTAACTTCTAAACCTGTAGAATCAAACATTATTAGACTACATTTGGAAAGAAACTAGCTTTTCTTGTCCTCTTCGCTCCAGAACACCAAGAAAATAAACATTTGACAAGTTGAGCGCAGCGTGTGTCGTAGAAGAATACAGTTATATTTAGTTTCAATATCTCCCCGGCTCTGCTGATTGCACTTTTAAACATCTGTCCCTTAAATTAAACATGAAGCAAGACTCTGTCTCACTTGGATACGACCCTTTGTTTAAAATCTCTTTGGCCAAATAAACTCAACTTTTTAAGAATGAAGAATCTTTACATGAGAGAAGTTAGAGGTGACCAATCAGCCGTCCCCATTACAATGAAGGCGGGGCAAACATACAAACATACCAAATATCAGACAAACAGAAATAGATATGTAAAAACAGACATTCCTCAGAAAAACTTAGTGCTGTTTTCTGTTTTGTCCCTTAAAAGAGTGGTGCAGGAATGAGTCCTAAAACCAGGTAATGAGTTAGCAATTGACGATTTACATGTTTTTGGTTAGATGCCTGAAACAAGGTCCGTGGTAAACACACATGTTCACGTTTTGTTCACTAAATACCCCACTGCTGAATGTCTGAAGCGATAACGCAGCTGATAACAAGTGCCTAAATGAGACTACTAAACGTCATCATGCCGAACGTTAGCGGCTTTGAGCTTAGCGGTGTTGATGTGAAGCCATGCGACAGTGATGTAGTTCGTCTATGACCTACTAAGAGCTTTTTTACTTCTGGCAATTGCATTTACGCCTTCAAAATCATTAAACATCGTGAACATATCCTGCTGAACCAAACGTGGAAGCATCACAAACGTGTCACATGATCACTGCAGCAGGTCTGTAGTTCGCCCTTTCGATGCTAACTCTCAGGTCGGCCTACAAAAATACATCATCTCTGCACCACTCTGATGCAAAAACAACAACAACAACAACTGTAAAACGTGTATCTATCTTGAACTGCTTCAATTGAGCTAAACGGAGCATGGAGGTGTAACGTTAGACCACGCAGCCCAGAGAGAGCAGCAGAACAGATGGATATGTCAGGGCATTCAGCTCCCTTTGGGTTTTATAAACCTCTGTACACATACTTCCTCTCAAACATCACCTCTCGTTCAACACCAGGATTCAGACGCTGCCAAAAAAAGCTTGTAGAAAAAAAAAAAGTGATATTTTGCAGTTTGTCCCAACGACGAGAAACGGCTTCTTGACCAGAAGAACTTTTTGAAGCTTAAGCTGAACTTTAAATCCGTTTTTGGCAGGAGGAGAGGGGGGGGGGGAGAAGGGGGGGGGGCAATAAGAGGTCATATAAAGCCAGCTTAGGCAAAGACATCATCATCATCATTTCACTGGAAGAAGATGATATGGCAGCGGATAGATTTGAAGCATGTGTGAGCGTTGTGGGTGTGTCTATGCGAGCGCTCTGGGTGTGTCTATGCGAGCGCTCGGGGTGTGTCTATGCGAGCGCTCGGGGTGTGTCTATGCGAGCAATCGGGGTGTGTCTATGCGAGCAATCGGGGTGTGTCTATGCGAGCGCTCTGGGTGTGTCTATGCGAGCTGGGTTTTGAACGCCCCCCAGGCGTGGAAGCAGCGGCTGAAGCAGTGCGGCTCGTTTCCTTTCCGCACCAGACGCAGCTTCCTGGGCGGCTCCGCCTCCTTCGAGCGCATGTGCTGGATGTAAACCTGCAGGGGGGGGGAGTCGGGGGGGGAGTCAGTGAGATGAGGATGGCAGCAGAACCTTTTGACTACAGATGGGGTCCAGAACTAGCGAGCCACATGAATGTCTGGGAGCAAATACATTTGATATGCTACACAAATACGGCCAGGATCCGTTGAACTTTCAGAACACTGGGTTGCAGATTAACATTTTCCAAAGGGGGGTTCGTCTCACACTGCACTGTAACTTTAATTCATGTACCTTTGTTATTCATGTTTTATTATCTTTGCTTTTAAATGCCATTTTATAATATGTTTCTTAATGCTCTTAATGCCTTTCATTTGTGTAAAGCACTTTGAAGCTTCTGTTGAAAGGTGCTGTATACATAAACTCGCCTAATGTTTGAACCCAGTTTTACACACAAACTAAATCACAGTTTCTCACTCACCTGGCAGGCTTTGAGACTCAGCTTGATCTCCACCTGGCTGGTCTGAGTGCCGACCCACATGTACACCTGAGGGAGGAACAAGGAAGTGACGCAGAAACACAAACAGTTAATGGTTACAAATGAAAAGAATTAGTCCAACGGATTCACTCAGATTTAAGAATGGCTGTTACCTCCTTCCCGTTGTCCAGCAACATGATGTCATCGTCAGCCAGGTCGTCCTGACAGAAGTCCGAGCACTTCTCCGACACGGAGAAATATCCCTTCTCATTGGAACACCTGAGGGAGGGAGGGAGGGGGGGAGGGGAGAGAAATAAACAATTGGGAAGTTAACAGTTGATGAAATGAGAAGGAGGGTGGAGACAAAAGACGGGTGGCATTGAGAAAGAAGCAGATTCAACTTAATATCAATTTATAGGTCGCACTTTTGTAAACCATTACATTACATTATATTACATTACATATTACTGGTTAGACGCTTTTATCCAAAGCAACTTACATACTCAATACTGTGGACAATCCCCACAGGAGCAATTTGGGGTGAAGTGTCTCAGGGACACAACGACATGCTGACTGCAGTGGGGTTTGAACCTGTGCTCCCCCTGATCCCAACACCAACGCACTAACCCACTGCGCCACACGCCTCCCATAATAAGTACATAATACCTAGAGATGATGTTCACTCACCTGAAGAGCCGAGCGTGCTTCATATAATCTGCGTCTTCATCGTACTCTTTCTGAGAGCCAATCCCCACCCAGAAGAAGTTCTCTGGCTCCTCCCCCTCATTTATCACCTTGGAGACAAATTGAATCTTCAGTTTGACAAGAAACAGACACCTAAGTCTCTTTCTCAAATCTGGAGAGAGAGTTCTTCATGGACACTTTATAGAGAAACCTTTATATGTCTATCGTCACATTTTATGACGGCAACATTAAATAAATAATTAAAATGTATTTAATTGGAATTTAAAAGTGAGAGTATTTGAATGCTAAGTTTAAGCAAAGCAATGAAAGGAGTTAACACGTTTGATGATAGAGGAGCGACAGAGCTGGTGTGTGTGGAATTGAACCTTGACCTTTGTCGAGCATTACAAGCTACACACAGAATAAAAAAGAACAATGAATTATAATAAATGAGTTGAATTATGCACACGGCACCTCACGTGTACCTGTTTGCTGTACGTGTCGTCGAACATGCTGTTCATGATGTCCTCGGACAGCTTGGCCTCGTCGGGGTCCGCGGCTCGGCCCACCCACGTGTACACGATGCCCTGGTTGTCTGTGCTCTCAAACGGTACCTGCAGAAAACATCAACTGTTACACAGGAACCAGAAGAACCCTTTCTATAAACAGTACAACGTAGGAGGAGAACCACACCTTGAGAATAAAGCAGAACTCCGAGTTGAGGTTGCTGGAATCTGTTCCAATCTGGATCGTCCTGAGAGAGAGTCAGAGAAATGAAGTTCTGCAGACAGTGGTGGTGTGCATTGATGTGATAACAGCTGATCTCAGAGCTGTGTGTACCTGGTGCAGAGTGCGCTGCCGTTGGTGCGGATGTGGTAGAGCGAGGGCTGGGCGGCGTCCAGCTTCTGTTTCCTCTTCCCTTTGTGGATGATGAACTTCCTCTTGAAGTGCGACAGGAACTTGAGGTTCTCCTGCTGCTGAGTCATCCGCACCACCTGAGCAGCAGGGAGGGGAAGGGTTCACACTTCACTATACGCTCAGAGTAGGGTTTTCGGTAACACTTTATATTAAGGTACACAAATTCACCATCAACTAGTTGTTAATTAACATGCATATTAGCAGTATATTGGCTCTTTATTAGTAAACACTTATTAATGCTTTATTCTACAAGTAAAAGGCCATTAGTTGAGTTGTTCCTCAATAAGCCTCTAATCAGTGCTTATTCATCAGAATCATATGTGTAGTTACAGCAGGAACAAGAGCCACTGACAGCTTAATGTTACATATGTTAAATATGTGACATGCATTTTTTTTAAAGTACTGAAGTTATGATATAATTAAAAAAATATATAATAAAAAATAGAAAGTTACATCATTTAAAAAAATACACATCCTGTAACAGTTCTTAGGATTTAGCAGTTAACAGTTATTAACGGCATCTATATATATTGCACATCTAGCACATATTGCACATAGGTGGTTGGTATTTAACAGCGGCAAGTTACACAATTTACAAAATACAAAATACACATCCTGTAACAGCTCTAAGGATTTAGCAGCCAGGCATATATTACAGTTATTAACGGCATTTATATATATTGCACATAGTTTGTTGGTATTTAGCAGCAAGGGGTGATATAGTCTGTGGTGTGGGGGGGGGGGTCTACTAGGGGCTGTGCTGGTTGTAGAGTCCGGCCGCTGCAGGAAGGAAAGACCTGCGGTATCTCTCCGTGACCATTGCAAGTAAAGAAGTTGTTGTCCATGAGTGTTGGTCTTAATATGCTCAATATGGGCCTAACAAGGCAGGAGTACCACAAGAATAGTCATTCTCCCATAATAACACTTAACAAATATGATCTATTCTTATGTAATGTAAGACATGAAATGATAAGTATTAATTGTGTCTAAATAACTCAAAATTAGGTATTTCTATCTCTATCTCTTTCTATACATCTATCTTTTTATTTCCTTTCTTTACAGGTTAATAAACATAGGAACAACACTGGCAGAAAAACAGACAGACTTATGCACAGACAACAACAGAGTGGGGTCTCCGTTCAGGTCCGCTCCCATACCTTGAGTTTCCCGGGGAAGAGGCTCTCGAACTTCTTCTGCAGGGAGAAGGTGAAGGTGAGCCAGCCCATGTTGGAGGCCTGCCTGCCCTGCCAGAAGTACACCACGCACTGGAAGTCTTCCTCAGGCTGCTTCTCCTCTTCCTCAGCTGCTGCGGCGCTCTCCCCCTCAGCGCCCTCACCCCCCTTCTTCCCCTTCCCCTTCTCCTCGTCTTCGTACTCCACAGCCACCCAGTACCTGAAGGAGGCAGAGCGGGGTTAGAGAGAGAGACTGACTCGCTCTGACAGGACAGTGGAGACACTTCTCATCTACGTGTGAACAGAAACCAACATCTCCCTACTGGCATGTATTGTTTATTATTGACATTTTTATTTTAGCTGGTTTTCTATTTATTTGTTTATTTGTTGTTTATCTGTTTTTGTATGTCTGTTTGTCTTCTGTCTGTGTGGGATGTTGTTTGCCCTGGTGTTAAGCAGTATTTACATTGTTACTCTACCTATTGTTCTATAAAGTGAACATTTGTTGACCTACTTTGATGCTCTGATAGAATAACTGTATGCTGTTGAAAAAACCCAATAAACTACGTTTTTTTTAAAGAAACCAACATCTTTCTAAAGGCTATGGCCCTTTGATTTTCTGTTTGTGTTGCTCCGAGGGCAAAAAGGTATCATACAATTATAAACTATTACTATTTTCCAATTTCACCAAGTTATATATTTTGGTACCACTTTACAATAAGACTACCCGTATAAAGGGTTTACCAATAGTTTGTAATTCATTTATTAATTAGGTTGTGAACACTTTATAAATCATTAATAAGCTTTTATAAGACATGAGATAAACAGGGCAACTGTGACCGGCTGCTTGCCAAATAGTGAGCCCACATTTATCTGTACTGCTAAGCCTTATATTGGCTACCTAGCTTACTTCGTCTTCTTCATCAGCCAGCATCCTTGGTATCTGTTGCTCACTGAGTTGATTCTCGCTAAGTAGCCAATATAAGGCTTAGTCATCTTGCCAAATAGTGAGCCTGTGTTGATGTATGAAAACTATGTTAGAACTGGTTTATAAATGGTTCTTAATGATTAATAAAGTGTTTACAACTTAATTAATAACCTAATTATGAACCCTTTATAAGGGTAGTCTCATTGTAAAGTGGTACGCATATTTTTGCTATTAAGTGGAAACCTGGAAAATAGCATGTATTTACTTAGATGGGAAAGAAATTGGGGGGAAAACTAAATATTTTTGGAAAATAGTAAAAAACGACCATGTATTATTTCTACATTGTTAATTATAAGCTTTTGGGGAGTGTTTGGCCATTGTTATCTGGTCCATCAGAGGCTCTGATTGGCTCCCCACAGTCACACGGTCCTACCTGCAGAGGAAGACGTAGCAGTCCTGCGTGTGGAAGTGACCGAACTCTTCCTCAGGCAGGCGGGCGAACTTCTTCCCCTCCAACACAAACCCTTCCATCCCGTCCAGGTCCTCGTTCCACTCCTCCATCAGACCTTCAGCCTGCACACAGACAGAGAGACAGAGAGACATGTGAGACCTCAGCCTCAAAGAAGGTCTTCAGGTGTGTGTAATTCAACTATTAAATGAGTCAGTGTAAATGAACATTTCATTTCATTTTTATTTGTTCCGTTCATGGTATGCACAACTTAAAGGTCCCATGTCATGGCCATTTCTACGGATCATAATTCCATTGTTGAGGTATACTAAAATAAATGTACATTGTGCAATTTTCCAAACTCACATTGGTTTCTCATACAGCATCTCTGTATAGTATGTGTATTCACTCTCTGTCCCAAACGGCTTGTTGGAGCTCCTGCCCCCCCCCCCCCCCCCTCCCTGTGAGCCCAGTGGCCGTCTGCGAGACACAGCGAAACCCAGCCCGAAACACACACACACACACACACCCACAGCCTGGCTGGGAGTTTGTGTGTGTGCTCAGGCTGAGTTCCGCGGTGTCTCGCCGACCCCACACCAGTGAGCCAGCTCACACTGTCCGCTCCTCGTAGCAGTGAGCCTCGCAACGTCCCGCCGAGTGTGTGTGTGTGAGGAAGTCCGTGGATTGGTCCAAACTTAACGGCTCCGCGGACGTAACGTAACGGCTCCGCAGATTGGTCCAAATGGCCCAATCTGCGGAGCCGTTACGTTACGTCACTATACCAAAATACGTCACTGTACCCAGGAAGAAAAAGAGAAATGTCCAACGAGGCGTTCTGGGGCAGCATAGACAGGTATTTTCTGTGTTAGAGTTTTACTCGCTACAGGGTGTACTTTGAGGGTTTGTGACTCTGCAGACCGTTTACATGCAGAAAAACCTTCATAACACACAAGGGGACGGGTAATAACCGGAAAAGCATGACATGGGACCTTTAATGTATAACAATTATTTACAAAACACGTCTCTATAAACACACCGTACCCGAAAAGGAGCAGGGAGAAGAAAATAATCTGATATTACCTGCCCCTTTCTAAAAGATAAATGAATAGAAATATATGGTCTGTCTTTCATATTTTCTTATTCACAGCCAATCATAACAGTATCGTAGGAGAATAAGAGAAACACAAAAACTTACAAAAAAATACTTGGTTCCCATTTGACAGTTAACGGAAAGAAACAAAACAACAATAACAATAGCCATGTTGGTACCTCAGTGAGGGCCATGGCGGGCTGCCGGGGGAGGAAGAGGGCGGTGAGGTCGGCCTTCATCTTATCCTTCTGCTCTGCGTCCTTCTTCACCTGAGAGAGGAACAGAGAAACCATCACTCTGATAACCAGACACAGGCAAGAGCTCCAGGAATCATGCTTTATAGCACGATATCCAACCAGTGTGATGTATTTTAAACCCTTTGTATCGCTGACCTTGCCCTGCAGGTTGTCTTTCTGCTGGACGGTCTCAGCTGCTCTGGTGTAATCCACCTTCAGCACGTCATCCCAGTTCTTAAACTTAGACTTATACACCTGAGGAAGAGGAAGAGGAGGAGGAGGAGATTAGATTTACTTTATTGATCCCACTGTGGGAAACTGTTTTGTCACAGTAGCATGTAAACAAGGCAGTACATATGTAAATATACACATATCAACAGTGAAAGGTATATATCTACAGAGTATGTCTATAGAATACACATTATAAATATACAGAATTAACGTTGGATGCGTTAAAAATGCGGGGCCATTTCATTAAAGGGGACCTATCATGCAAAATGCACTTTTTGATGTCTTTTATACATAAATATGTGTCCCCGGTGTGTCGGGGAACTCACGCAGCGTCAGAAAATAAAACCCTCTCTCTTTTCCTCCGTACCCAAATCTCTAAAAACGGGGCTACAACGGAGCTGATCCAGATTTGCGTCCGATATGACGTAATATCGGAAATGTAGGCTGGCTTTACACCCACGGCCCTATCAGAAAGTTGCTATCAGAAACAATGCCCGACTGTTTTGGACGTAATATGGTCGGTGTTTACATTAGCATCGCTAACACTCAGAGCTAACCTGTACTGGAGAGCATGTGTGTGAAGAAGCAGGAAATAAAAAGGAACTCACCTTATGGTATAACCGGCAAGAGAGAAAGCCTTTGAGCTCCATACTGTTTCAGAAATAATCCTTGATAATCCATGATATGGCGTTTCATCCCCGCAGTATTTAGTTTAGACAGTAGCTGCTGGGTCCTGCATGAGCTCAGACCCCTCCTTTTTTATTTTATCAATTTTTTTATTATTTTTTTAATATTATTATACGTTTTCTTCCTTCTTGTAGAACTGTGTCTTTCTGTTTTATCATCCATTCACTTGTGAGACTGTCTGCCGTTGACCAGAAATGCGTATTTATATATAAAATGATCCCTGCACACCATCCAGATACCGTCATGAGACAGCATGTAAAGCAGGTGGATGTTATTGATTTTTGCCGTCCCACCAACTTCACCTCCCTCAGTCCCTGCAGCAGTGAGTGGGGGGGCAGTGTGAAGTGTTACAAATATTATTTTATATTGTTGCATCGACTCAGTTGTCTTGTGTCTTATCTGTCAGAGAGAAACCATTATTTATTTTATTTTCATTATCATACTTTTGACCTCCTTGTGTCTATGAACCTGATAAATGTTGTATTTTGCTGCATGTAGCTGTAAAGTTATTAACAAATCATCTGAGGGGAATTTCTTGTTTATTTTTAACTTGTGATGTGTCATTTTGTAAAGCACTTGTGTTGTATGAAAAGTGCTATATAAATAAAGCTTTATTATTATTATTGTTACCTGGCACTCGGTGCCCTCCAGGTTGCGGGTGACCGAGACGTGTTTGGGCCGGTGCAGCATGGAGCAGATCTCCTGGCCCAGCTTCAGGGCGGCGGCTCGGACCAGGCGAGGAGACTTCCTCCCGATCCAGATGAAGACGTCGGACCAGCAGTCCAGGATGTACACGCCCTTAGTGTCCAGCAGGGACTGCACCTGGGGACACGAGAGAGACAACATGGAATCAGATATTGACTTTTTAAATGGCAATATTTCAGTCAAAAAGTCATGTTTTTAGCACATAAAGTTACCAGTCTGAGCTCCGGCTGAGTGTCCAGTTTGATCTTGTGGTCTTTGTGCTCCACGGACAGCTTGTAGTTGATCTGAGGCAGCTCCAGGTAGCCCAGACCCAAGCCCACCTACAGGACAGGATACACGAGAAACAAAACATCAGAGAACTGTAACTTCCTGCTGGGCGATGATATCTGTGATCATGTGACCCTGTCATGTTGCTTAACGTGTTATCACGCTATAGAGAGTTTTTGATCGTTCTAATAAACCCTTTTTTATTGTTTCTGCAAGAATTAATAAAGATCATATTTCCTGCAACAGCGTTTTTGAGGGACTTTTTATTTCTCTGAGCAGAAAAATAAGTCTATTTCAGTAGAAAGGTGTGTAAGAAAGGGCCTCGTCTAATGCTCAGGTCCTAGACCCTCACAAGATAAATGATGTTACCGTAAGAAGCCATTTTAAGTAGGGAATGTCTCTAATCTGTGTCTCTACACCCATTGAAATACTCACTACAAATAGTAAGGCATAATCAATAAACATCATTTCATTTGGAGCTAAAGAACTGTTCCGATTGTAACCATAGTCATAATTTAGACAACATTTTGACTCGTCTGCCATCATGTATTAAAGTAAAAAAAAGTACTAGTTTTAAGTATCAACTAATGTGAAATAATATTGAACCTCTTTGATTACATTTTTATAAAGTCATATTTCAATAGGATTGTTTGTGGTTTAGTCCATCCCACATACTGCACATCATCATCATGGGTTTACAGAAACAGTTACACGTGACTGAGATCAAGCAGAAAGCTCCACAGTAGATCCCACACCTCCTACAGCTCTGACCCGTTACACCTACCCTACCTTCACACTGCAGGAACACTCCTACTGTACACCACGCTGACCTGATGCTGAAGACGCGCTGCTGTTAAAACGCTCACCTTGTAGAGTTTGGGTCTGACGGGAGAGAAGTCGTCAGGAACGTGTTTCTTGATCTCCTCCGGTTGTCCTCCCAGAACCTCCCAGAAGCCCGGGGGCTCCTGGTTCTGAGAGAGGGTCGTGATCTCCGCCTTGCCCTTACGCTCATTCTTGTTGATCTTCTCTGCAAACAACCTGCAGGATGAAACAATGCACACACACACACTTTGACGCTTTGCTGAACTACAAGTATGTTGTTTTAATGTTTAATGGTGTTCCCAACGTGAAAACCAACTTTAGATTTGCCTTCCATCGAAATGTTTGTGTTACTAATTGCTTTGTGTCCTACCTGGCCTTCGTGGTGCCGCTCAGAGTAGCGTTGGCTCCTCTCCAGATGAAGATGTCTGGTCCACTGTCCAACAGGAAGACAAACCTGCCATAAACAAAATGAAAATGAAAAACTAACTACAGTTAATATGTCAGAAAGGGATCAAATCAAAATGTATCTAATGGGCCCAATATCACAGGGCTTTAAAATGTGTTCAGCATCATATACCCTCCGTCATAAGACCCTTCCTGTGGATAAGGAAACAAGAAGGGAGTGTGTGTGAAACTGTGAGTGTAGGCAGGAAGGTGTGTGAGAGTTACCGTGGGTCGAGAGAGGAGGCCTTCACCGGGACAGACTCCAGTCGGATGTTCTTCTTGCCGTAAACTCTGTACAACCTGTTGGACAAAAAAATATATTGAATACCTCATTCAAAATGTTTTCAGACCAACAGACACAAAGGTTTACGTCACAAAAGTCTAAATTATTTACAGCTATAATCTGACTAAATGTATTCAGACTCCAAATGAATAATCTCCGACAAGATAACAATCACGTAAAAGGCAAATAGAAATTATATTTATATTTTTTAGGGAACATGTTTTGTTGGTGGAGATTGCTTTTCTTGGAGTTTGTTGATGTAATACTCATTTTGGCCACAAAAGGCTGACACGTGATGAGTATTGGCAAGTAATGAAGCAACTGGCAGTTACTGTTGGGGAATCATTTGCCCTGCATGTCCTCCTTCGCCCTCTGACGCAGCTGACCAACCTTGAGCAGCCGTTATCTCCCATAAGGAGGGGCTGCCCAAGCATATTGTTGATGTTTATGACCCATTTTGATCAGAGTTATGGATCCAGGTTTTTCTATTTCTCTAACTTGCCTCACGGGGCTTCTGTAAAATGTTCCTCGACTTGAAAGAAATAAAGAAGAATAATGGAAATAACAAAGACGCATTTAAAAAAGAAGTCTCGTGCATCTCACCTGACAGGATAGCTGGTGTCCTCCACAGTGTAGAAGCCGCTGGCTGTTCCCCCCTCGATGTAGGAGATCTCATTGTTAAACACCTGCACACAGACAGAAAACAGTCTCGTACTCCATCCAATAAAGAAAATGGATTTTACAAACATTGTGTTCCGGACTAAATCCACCAGACTCAGGGACAGTTTCCTCCCACAGGCCATAAGACTGTTAAGGGGCCTACACACCAAACTGACACCAAAGAACACGTCCCGACGGAACACGACTGTTGTGTCACCTCACGTCTCCTGTGTCTTGGCCATGTGTCGCACTGGAACACACCGCAAAGACTTCAGCCAACGGCCAAGTAGCACGTACGAACTGCGCATGCGTGAGTGGCAATAAGTCTTTTGGGTTTTGGTCCCCTCACTTCCGTTTCGCTTCTCATGCACTGATTCGCTAAGCTGAACAGCCAATCAGAGTGATTTCTTTAGCCGACAGCCTACCGATTCAACATGTTGAATCGGCGGTGGAAGGTGTCGGCACGGCCGAAAAGACACGACGGGGCGGGACACACCAATCTGAGTAGGGCGACAGGACGCTCATCGACGGCCAGACGTCTATCGACGGCCGAAATCGGCTTGGTGTGTAAGGACCTTTAAACACCTCAACCTTTGAAAGAACATCCATCTGGTTGCAACTTAGATATATATCAATATTCCAATTACTTGTATATAGACTATTCTGCACTATTTCTATTATATTCTATTTTATTTTATTTACTTGCACTATTATCTGTTTTATTGTGTTGCACTGTTGGAGGAGCCTGTGACCTCAGATTTTCATTGTCATAACTACACTATGTACACATGACAATAAAAGCCTTGAATCGTGAATCTTGAAATGTTACACTGTAAAGCACAGGGGTTTTACTTCGTGTTAAGCTTAGACTCTCAATTGTCTGTCTGCCTATCGGTGTGCCCCCTATCATCTGTACAGTTAAATCTACATACGGCGTTGAACTCCTCGCTCTCGTCTCCCATCTCCTCCCTTATCGTCCTGCACTCGGCTCCCAGGAAGTTCCTCAGGTTGACGGAGTGGATGGCGGCGCCGGCCTTCTTGTCCAGCGTGGCGCCCTCACCAATCCAGTAGAAGATCTGCCAGTTCAGCTGCCCGTTCTCATCCAGGAAGGTCTGCAAGTTCACAAAGGACGGAGGTAAGAGAGTTGTCCTGGCGTATAGAGTGCAGGACAGTTTACATAAATATATATATCCTGTGTTGTTTGATTTGATGTGTCACCTTGAGGATGATGTAGCTGTCGGCCTCGTAGAACTTGCTGTGGAAAGCTTCGTCCACCTGTAGAGGAATAAAGTTCTCTATCTGCCACACCGACACCCCTGGGACCTGAAGGACGGGGGAACAGGAGATATAAACACTGATATCTGTACCATGCACAACTTTAAATGTTTATCTGACATTTTTATAAATCAATCTTTTAGGGGATGTTGGTTGGCTGTAGCTTGGACAGAATCAGAATACTTTTTTTCTCCCCAAGGAAGAATAGGTTTATTTTAGAATTATATATTTTTTTAAAAGTGATAATTAGATGAAATTAAAATGTCCAGTAAAAAATCAAATAAATCAAATAGAATATAAATATTTAGATAAATATAAGTAAGTAAAAGTGTGCCCATCACCTGGCCCACGTCCTCCATAAAGAACTCCGAGTAGTCCAGCGCCGGTTTCTCCAGACTCTTGTCCCAGCGCCGGACCTTTAGATCCGCGTACTTCAGTTCCCCGTTCTCCTGCAGGAACAAAGGGTGTGTTGGTGAATACAAGTTTAAGAACCTCATTGTGTTTATCGTTCTCCCTCTGAACGGTGTATCCATCCTTCCTGATCTTTACCGTTGACTCCAAGTTGTTCCTCTCCTGAGCGACGTCGCTCATGCCCTTCAGCACCTGCTTGGCCTGGTCGTCCTGAGAGCTGTCCTTCCTCCTCCTCAGCCTCATCTTCCTCGCCAAGGGGTCTCGGGGGCTGGCTCCTGCAAACATAAAGACAGAGATACTACAGATATCAGCATTAATATCTTATTAAAACGTTAACACCGCTGCATATTTCATAATATTCATGTTATACTGTATATTGTAGTAGAAGTTGCACATTTTTAATATAACTTCTTATGTTCATACAAATGCCTTCATTTTGTTTTATCTACTTTTCTCTATTTTAATTCTATTTTTAAATATATATTTTATTTTATTGTGAAATTGAGAAACTGTCACAAAATGTCCCCCTGGGATAAAAGACAGTATTCTGATTCTGATGATTTTAATGATGTTTTCATTGAAAAAAAACATACATTTGAATGCCTTTTTAATATTAAATAAGGTAGTTATACTATATACATGAAAGTCCAAACGCTTCCTCCAGTGACAGACGTAAACACTCGTACCTCCCCCAGCAGCAGCCACGGTCGCCGGCGAGGCCCCGGCCAGACGCAGCTGGTTCTGCAGAGAGAAGTCGATGTTGTACCACTCGGCTCCGCGGTCCACCGGCTTGGGAGGCATCACCAGGTTAGGGTTCTCACGCACATCCAGAACCTAGAGACAAAAGAAAGGGTTGTATGATCATATATTTGCATCTATCATTCCTAAACATTATGACCTTACAAAGCACCAATCATTTCAGGTCTGTTTGTCATTAGCATTCCTACCGAAATGTAACTGGACTATGACTATTGTCTTTTTCATGAAGTTGTTATGTCTGTCAGATTATGTTATATTTGCTTTATCCAACTTCATCCTATTTTAACTAGAATGTATTGTATATAAGTGTGTTATATGTTCTCTCCAGCCATGAGACAGGTTACTTTAACCTTCTTTTGCCACTTTTATGAAGTACTCAACCCTATAAATAATCTACAATTGTCCCTAAAATAAATGCTGTTTAAATCCAATTCTATCAGAGTATTTGACAAGCGGCCTTGCAGGGAATTTAGGTTAGATGTCAGGTCACCCAACACTAGGGATGCCAGAAACTGACCATGATCAAATTCGAAAATCGGACAGCCCTGGCGAATATTAATCGATTATTCGCTGTTTAAATGTTTTTGTTACTTAGAGTTCATAAGTTGCAGAAACATTTTAATTGAGTGGCCAGTAAAAATGCTCTGTGACCTGCCACAGTGACTGGTGGAGAAATAAGTTAATTTTTAGTTAATAGTGAGCAAGTGTTGTACCTCTAAATCAGTCAGGAAGTGGATGGCCTCGGGCAGCGTTACCAGACGGTTTTTATTCAGCACCAGCTTCTTCAGCTTGCCACACCTACACAACACAAAACCACATATTGTATCAACATAACCAATTACTCTTGTGTCGATATAGCTCGTCATGTACAGAGAATCTCCTACTGCCAGTATACTTCTACATAGCTGTTAAATTGGGTTGTTTAGCTTTAAATTCTTCTGCATCAAGACTCAGCCTTTTAGGGAAAAATATAAATATCAGAGTAACAATGCACCTTCAGTCTGTGTGTGTGTTGGTGTGTAAAGCTCACCTGCAGAGCCCCTCTGGGATCAGTTCCAGGTTGTTGTTGGCAGCCATGAACTCTGTGAGGCTGGACAGTTTGCCCACGCCCGGAGGCACCCCGTCAAAGTCCAGTTTGTTGGAGTTCACATACAGCTTCTTCAGTTTGGTCAGCTTACAGATTGCAGACTGAATAGAGACACACAAGAGAAATGTTGATTTAATGCAAGATACAAAAGCTAGTAAGATTCCAGCAAGAAAGTAGATCACATTAATAACCCAGTAAAACACCCACAATAATGTAATCAAATGTGTCCTTGAATGTTGCAACAACTCCAGCTCCACAGCTTTCTAAACACAGAAAGATCAAACAGCGGCTCCAAGCTGCAGCTGAGTGTTTCTCAGTGAGCTTACGGGCAGGGAGGTGAGCTGGTTGCGGCTCAGGTTGAGCGTCTCCAGCTGCGTCCACTGGTCGATGCAGAGGGACAGCTCTGTGATCTGATTGCTGCTCAGGTTCAGTCTCTTCAAACTGCCCAGAGTGTAGAGACACTCGGGGACGCGGGACAGGTCGTTACCGGACAGGTCGACATCTGGGAGGGACGGGAGGACAGAGGGAACACGGGTTAGTAAGAGTATGTTTCCCCAGAGCAACACATTTGATACAAAAGAAAACAAATGTGTTCCCCTAATCTGTTCCCCTAATTTAGCAATTTAAACATTGACTTCTCTTATGACTTAGTAGTCAGTAGCAATGGTCAAGATGTCAATCTGACAATGCACCACTAATAGTTTTAGAGAATAATCGTTTGCACGGGGAGAGAAAAACTGCTTCTCTGTTGCCTGTCAGGTGGCGAATGTTTAAGACTCTGAAATGTTTACATTGACTGTACTGCTATGTGAAAAATGTACCACAGTGCCAAGAGGTAAACATAAGAAGAAGAATGTGCCAAGCCCCGAAAAAAGCTCTGGAAGAAAACATGACAGTGGTGTGTGTGAGTTTATCTATGTGTGTTACCTGCTAACTGTGTCAGGCCCTCCAGGCTGGTGGGCATGTTGGTCTGGGTCCTCTGGGTGTTCCTCAGGTGGAGAGTCTGTAACGCCACCATGGCTGGCAGCTGGCTGCTCACACACACACACACACACACACGCACACACACACAGAAATAAAGAGAAAAATAACGTTAAATCGCCTATTATACAAGGTGTGATATTGCCATTGTGACATTGGAGGATTTTGTCATTATCATTAAAAAATATATGAATGACCATGGTGTGATTTCTTTTTAATGGATCTGTACCAAACATAAATGTTTTGTTAAGTAGAACACAATTTATAGGCCTGTATTTTCTCACAGCACGACAATACTTAGGCACACATATTTAGACTTAGAAAATATTGTGCTTTCTTCAATTTGAATATTGTCCATATTGCAATTTCGATCACATTTTTGATGAATTGTGCAGCCCTGATGTGAAGTAAGAGGAAATAATAACGGAGTCCTGTCTTCTCACCGCAGCTGGGCATGCATCAGCGGGTTGTTGTTCAGTGTGAGCGTCTGCAGGTGGACCAGGCGTCTCATCTGCGGCGGCAGGCTGTCCAGCTTGTTGTCGCTCAGGTCCAGATACAGCAGGTCTGTCAGGTTGATGAACAGCTGGTTGGGGATGGCGTCGATGCTGTTGTGGCTCAGATTCAGAACCAGCATGTTTCTGCTGTTCTCCAGGTCCCGGGGAATCTCCGTCAGCTGGTTGAAACTCAAGTCCTGAAGGAGAATAAGGGGAAATGTGGCGTTTTTGAAGACAATACTGTCAGGGAGGTGGAGTTATGTTGTATGTGTTGTTGTAAAAATGGTGGGTTGGTAAGCAGATCAATTGGGATTGTGTGAGAGTATTACATACCAGCACAGAGAGGTCATCTAGCTGAAAGATGTCATCGGGGACTCCGGAGTTTTTCAGGTTGTTGGCTCTGGCTACCACCGCCTGCACAGATATAGAAACACAATTAGGGCAATATAAAAACTACACATTGGTACGAGGAGAAAGTTGCCATATTAAAAGCATCAGATTGAAATGTACAGTGCTTATGGCTTGTAAGAAATTGCCACATGCTTTGTCTTGTGCGTGTGTGGGTGTCACTTACCCGTAGGTTGGGTAAGCTGGACAGCTCTCCATGTAGAGTGGTCAGGCTGTTGTGACTCACTGAAAGATGTTCCTGAAGAAGAACAACAGAGGTTTTGTTTACAGATACACACTGCACCAACAAAGAAAATATCATCTATAACTCCATAAATACACTCTACAAGGTCCAGTTTGCAACGTACTTCTTGCACTAATTCTCATTTGTCACTAAACAGAATGATTCAACGGAAAACAGGATCAAATCAAGACTGATAAACACAGCCCAGACACTGTGACTCCTTGTTGAGATAGCAGACTAATCTTATTTACCTAAAACTGGTAAGAACAAGCATGTTAGCGTGGATCACCTTTTCACCGCAGCCTGCTGAGTAAAGCTTTGGAGGTTCAGATTAGATAATCCTATCAAAGATATGAAGGATTAAAGTAAGGCTGAGTGTTTTATCAAATGAGGTTGTACTGTTCTCTAAATCTACTGATGTGAAGTCCTTTGTTACTCACACATTAAATATAAACAATTAACAATACTGTTCCCAACCATGCATTTATAGATGGCTTGGGGAATTACATTAACATAGGTTGCTATAGGTGACAACTACGATTTCAAGTGCAGTCCTGAAGGTCTCACCAGCTTCTGCAGAGAGGCCAGCTCCTCTGGGAGGTAACACAGTCCGGTCCTGTTCAGCTTCAGCCATCGCAGACTGCTCATACACTTCACATGCTCGGGGAAGTACCCGCCCTGTAAAGACAGAGAGGAAAGGAAGGTCAATGCTAGATCTTTGTAAAGTTAAATTGAGAGGAAGTTGGTGGAGGGTGCAAATAAAACCCACCCAACATTGTCTGATTACCTAAATCATTTGGTGTAAAAACCCTTAGATGTAGTGTTCCTATAATACATAATGGAGATATGTTTTACCGACACAGCCCAAAAAAGCAAAGTTCAAACAGGTATTTGTTTCCGAAAATGTTCCAAATAATTACCATATGTTTAGCTAAATGTATTAAACACAGCATATGAACCTTGTATATCCATAAGAATAAGAACAGTGCATTTCTTGTATGCACCTACAAACCCAAATAGAAGTTTACAGCCTTGCTGGTTTATTGTGGGTCAACTTGTCAAAACAACTAGGTGATTTAAATCAGCTACATGAGTTTAGAAAGCAGACATTTAGCTCGCTGTGGTGTGCAGTCGGGATAAGAAACCTTTCAGTCAGTCGTTATGATTCATAGTTAGGCAGAGGAAATGATGTCATCCTGTACTGTAGATATAAGCAGCCATTCCTTTAACAATAAGGTTATTTATCCAGCTTCGTACTATTTTCATACCAACATGGCAGCTAGCATTACGCACACAAATAGTTCTGACAGTTAGAATACATGCCAGATGATCTCACTGCTGCCAGTCGGGCTGCTTTTAATTCCAGTCTCTCAAACTAAGCTCACAAAGTGTGTCTGTTTTCAACCCTGCAACCATGACGACATTGAGTCAACAAACTCTAAAACTGTAACCAAATGTATTGAATGGTTGGCCTTGTAGGTTAGCGATTGTACTTAAAAGCTGATAAAGCTGACATATGTTGTGAAGGGAAGTTTGAGTCACAGAGTTAGCCAACAGTGAAGCTACGTTTGCTAGCTAATGTGGCGTTGAAACTAGAGCTAAAGATCCCACACTACACAGAATGAGCTAACGTGTACCCATAACAAAGTAAAAAAACAACCCTTTCAGCCCATTCCTCTAAATAGAAAGTGGTAAAATGCCAGGAAACAGGCTTGTGACGGAAACCAGACAGCTACTTTGTCCATGTCAAACTGACAACTGGCTAACGCCCAATGCTAGCGACGTTAAGCTAAGCTAGTGTTTAGCGAGTTTAGCCTTTAGCCGTTTGTTGTGACTGTCTAACTTGGGTTAGCTTTAGCTAGCTAGCTCAACGTGTTCAACAGCGACGAATTCAATACCAGCAAAAACATATTGGAAGACTTACTTTAAAGTCGTTTCCACTGAGATCTACCCCCCTGATGAAGGGAAGAACTCCGGTGGAAGCCATTTCTGGTTGCTTTATCAGCTGCTCTGCCCTCAACTGTCTATTTTGGTCCAGAGGCAGGGAGGGTTGTGGCTGCGGCACACTTCTTCTTCGTTTGTTTTAATGGCGGGCGACAAACCAACGTTTGAAGGTGCATGCCGCCACCTACTGTACTGGAGTGTGTATCGTCAAGACTGAAAGACAATTAAATTAATAATTATAAAGAAAAAATTAATAAAGAAAACCATGCTAAATTCTAGAAATAAAAACGGTATTGTTGACATATTTAATTAAAGACCGTTGAAAAACAAACAAACACGACGACACCAGTGTTGTGCAATATGAAGGCTACCTATTTTGAATTAGTATTATTACTGGCTGCCTTTTGAGTTGTAGTCTAATACGAATCTGTACAAAATTACTATTTGCAATATATGATTGTTCAACATGTTTTTTTTATACACTTCACTTCAGTATTTCTCTTTCTACAGTGAATCTTTACAACATAATAACACATGTTCAACTGTCTTCTAATTGAATGTGTTCATGATGAATAATGTATCATTGAGTCCAGTATGTCCTGATCTCACCCTGGAGAAAACTGCGGACATTCTTTTCTGCAAATTCCCTTTAAACTTTGACACTGACTTCTGAATATTATTATAACCTCTACCAACAGTTACTGTCTGCCACCCGCTGTTCCGGAATGTGTACCAAAGGTTAATATTAGTGTGTGTACAGCGTCATCTAGGGGTTTTAACCAGGGACTACAATGCACCCAGGGCTGTGTGGGTGTCCCGTTTCTACAAGGACTTGCTTATTAATTAGCCATATTTAAAAGTCCAGACTATAGCCTCTAAATAAAAGTATTATGTTTAGATAACACGACTTTTATTGAACAAAAACGTTTTTTTTGTTTGTTTCTTCTGAGTGTGGGGCACTTGATTAATACGATTAAATATTCAGGACTTTTTCTGTGTTATCTGAAGGGATCATCAGTTGCAAATGTATTTTTTCTCTTATCTAAAGTGGCACATTTCCAGCAAAAACTGCGGTTATATAGAAACTGTCAAGTCATTAAGCGATAGCGATAGTAAAACCGGAAGAGGTATAACTTATTTTCAAAATAAGAAGATTTATCAAGGAAGCTCACGATGAATTGCTGGCGTCTTGCGAAAACATGTTTTATTTTGAAGGCGGTTGAAGCAGTGGAATCGGAAGTGTTTTTGTATGAGAACCTCCCGGTCAGCTGTGCGGTTAAATATCCGTCGCTTAGCCAGCCAAGAAACACATTCAATAAAAAAAGCTATTTTAGGTTTTACATTATGGATAATAATGTAACGCGATACAATGTTCAGCTATATATTTATGATTTATCGAGAGGAATGGCCCGCAGCCTTAGTCCCATCATGTTAGGTAAGTGCAGACAAAAAATCCGGCCTTGGACACAAATAGGGGATTTATTATATATGTATTAACAGTTTTTATGTAATCATTACCGTTCAGTGAACTGATGTTTGGTTAAATTATCAAGATTTTTTAATGCATTTATTTTGAAAATATGGTGTGAATCGTGACTGATTTATGTTTCCACCTCTTAAGAAATGGTTCAGGTCTTTATTAAGGGGTTGATTTAAAACTGATACACTTGTAAGTTGCAGCTGCACTGAATATCGTCTGCTACCGATTCATTTGTACCCCTTTTTGTTACAGGAAAGCAACTGGATGGTATATGGTATGAACCTTTTTATTTTATTTTGACAGCTGTCTTTTTGATATCTAAAAAGACCTCTTGAGTTGTGAAAACATTGCAAGTCCAGTCCATTGACCCATTCATTATCACAGAAAACACATGACTTAATATAATATAATACTGTAATGCTGGAAACAGTTACTCGAAATGTGACTATTTCTGTCCTTAATTTAAAGCTGAAACCAACGATTATTCCCATTATTGATTAATTGATTTTATTGATCAACCCTTTGGTCAATACAATGGCAAGAATAAAAAAAGAAGTATATATTTGTCAAAATCCAAGGTGACTCTCATTGTCTTGTTTTGTTAGTCCAAAACCATAAAATATATACTAAAAAGTACTTCAAAGATTCTGAAAACAGCTCATTTGTTCATACAAAATAAAACATTTCATAAAAATAAGCAATCAGTTATTTGCCATTTTTGTGACAATAAGCTAATAAATAAAACAACTTATTGTTAGCAGCTCTAGCTTATTTAGTTATTGAGTAATGTTTTTGTATTTAGCTTAAAGTAATTAAAAAAAAATGAAGGAAATCATAAAGTAGAGCATCATTTAACAATATAAGAGATTGTATTGAAAACAATTATAATACATACTTTGGGAGTTCATTATAACAATCAATTGATCAAATGCTGGGTTTTTAATATATGACTGTGTATTCCTATAAGTTATTAGGTTGGCTAACTGGTTTATGGCTTGCTTTTTTGTAAAGAGGCACTTAGTTATAATTTTAAATAAATACAATTCCACTGTTCTAAGCTTTACTTACATCTTTGATAACTGTGTGCTTTCTCACAGGCACACAGCTATAGTGGCATACGGTGAGGAGTTCTTCTACGGAGGGGAGGGGATCTCCAGCTGTCCGCCGGTGAGTCTGTGTAAAGGGGACTGACTCCTTTCACAACTCTCAGTTATTTTCCACAAGCTTATTAAGAAAAAGTATGCAAACCAAAAGTGACAGCAGAGAGATGTATCAACATTTCTTAGTTTCATTTTTTCGCTAAGATTATGACTCTTGAAAACTTGAATTATATATAAAAAAAGTGGTTTTACTTTAGGTAATGTATATATCTATAAGTACAACATTTTTTACAATATTTACGTGTAGTGTCTTACAATATTTATCGAGTTTTACAATTCATTTTCTTGAAATAATTTGTATTCTCATTTCCCGAGCATACTTATATTATAGGCCACTTCAATAATGTGTTATTGAAGTGGCCTATAATAGTGTGGATTTACAAACAGGGAGTCTGTAAATCCACACAGTATTGGTGAAAGGAAACAACTGAATCAACTAGTTTGTCCCTGCTCATGGATGTCATATGACGTGTACATGTTATAAGATGTTTGTTTGCTGTGTGTTTGTCAGGGTGGGACGATGCTGGGTCCTCCAGACACAGTGGTGGAGCTCGGAGAGACCGAAGTAACTGAGGAGATCTTCATGGAGTACCTCTCTTCCCTGGGAGAAAGCACATACAGGTCGAGTAACTGCTAAATAGCTCTTCTTCAAGGCAACACAAATTAAGACACATAGTATTAATCCTTAAGAAAAAGAAATTCTCACAAGTTCTCAAAGTTGAATTGTTGTATCATGCCTGAAGCCTGTGACATAAGATTTTCAACTACATAATTACTCTGTAGCTATGTCAGATTGACAATAAAGAACCTTGAACCTTGAATGTATGTCTAATTTCACAAATCTACTGAAAAACTATTATTTGATATATTTTTCCTTTTTTTTCTTGGTTCAGAGGGGACAAGTATCGTCTGTTTGAGCACAACTGCAACACCTTCACCAACGAGGTGGCTCAGTTCATGACGGGCAACTCCATCCCATCCCACATCACCGACCTCCCATCAGAAGTCCTCTCCACGTGAGTGTTAAACTCAATCTGTCAGCTCCCTGTGACTCCAATCGAAGGTTTAAGAAAATACAATACAAAAGAGTCACAATAATATGAATAATAACATATGTGAAAATAGTTTAGCTAACATCAAGCTTCTGGAAATTGTAGTTATAATTAGAAGTTGTTTACTACTCCCCAAGTAAGTAGGGGCTTGGACTGTGAGCCGCGGGGTCGCCGGTTCAAGTCCCCGAACAGACCTAAATATGGAGTGTGGACTGCTACTTGGATACAGTTCACCTCCTGCCCTGCCGTGGTGCCCTTGAGCAAGGCACCGGACACCCCCCGTCCCCCCTCACTCCCATTGCTTCCCGGGCGCTGTACAATAGCTGCCCACTCCTCCTAGTACTAGACTCCTGGTACTAGGATGGGTTAAAAGCAGAGAACATATTTCACTGTGTGCTGTGTGCTCTGCATGTGAGACCATTAAAGAGGGTTTCATCCCTCCCAATATTATTATATGTAAACTATCCATTCTATGTGTCTGGGTCAACCTGCTGTCATACAATCTTAAATGAAACTGCCAAAATGTAGCTTAATAAATATGTTTTATGCAGAAAAATGTATTAACCCAACAGGAAGACCAAAGCAGGCACATTCTTTTAAAATGCATGAATGAAAAGGGTTTTAAATGTATGGTTTAGGCATAAAAAAAGGCCTGGTAAGCAAAGAAAAAGTGTGTGTCTTTTATTATTATTATTATTTTTTAAATCTGCTGTTCTAAAATCAAATAGGAGGGAGTTTCTTTTATTTTTTAAAAACGTATTCTTTATTAGTTATTTTCTCACATTCCCCTTTACATCCATTAGTACTCCAATGTAGACGAACAGTTTCTTTAACAAGGGGTCACAACATGTAGAAGGTCTCAAATCCAAGAAATTCAACATGAGATTCTGAAAAACAAAACGTATAGGAATACAAATGTTTCTAATAGTTTAAGGTCATAAGACGGAAAGGCTTGAGGAGCTTATGAAAAAGAAAGTCCGGAGATTTATCAGATACTTCTTGTCCGTACACAAAATGAAAGGCATTCGCTGATATATGGGAGGCTGTAGCTCAGTGGATAGTGTGCTGTAGTGATGGGAATTCCGGGTCTTCTTGGTGAGCCGGATCATTTGGCTCGGCTCACCAAGAAGAGCCGGCTCTTTCGACTCCCAAACGGCTCTTCAGTTTACCACATATTATACCTTTTATAATTCAATCAAATGTAGCCCTGTTTTGACTAATGATTTATATGTGTACACATATCACTTAAATTATTCAATACATCCTTTGTACTGAAGTATTCAAAAGTAAAAATGACATGTTTAATATCAATTATTTGCTGTGGCCAATTGTTTTCATTGCATTGACAGACCCTTGTATCTCTCTGATACCACCCAATGAATGCACAGACTTGCTTGTAGAACCACGCTACACAAAGCA